GCTGTCTCCCTCTCTCTCTCAGAAATTAAAAAAAAAAAAAAGCATAAAAAAAACTTTGGGGAAAAAATCAATTGTAATTCTGTATACATGCAAGGAACAATCCAAAAGTGAAATTTAAAATAACAATTCAATTCATAACAGTGGTGCCTGGTAGCTAACTTAACAGTTAGTCAAGTGTCCAACTGGTTTTAGCTCAGGTCATGATCTCACAGTTTGTGATTTCAAGCCCTGCTTTGGGCTCTGCACTGACAGTACAGACAGGATTATCTATCTCCCTCTCTCTCTGTTCCTCTCCTACTCTCTCTGTCTCTCAAAAATAAATAAATATTTTAATAAGTAAAATTCCCTTAATAACAGCATCAAAAAGAATAAAATACTTAGGAATAACCTTATTTAAAAAGTACAAAACTTTTACTCTGAAAAGTACAATTCCACTGAAAAAAATTAAAGACCTAAATAAATAGAAAGATAGCCTATGTTCATAGATTTGAAGACTGTATTGTTAAGATGGCAATATTCCCCAAAGCAACTGATAGATTCAACACAACCCCTATCTCAGCTGGCCTCTTTGCATAAACTGACAAGTTGGTCTAAATATTTGTATGGAAATACAAGGGACCCAGAATAGTCAAAACAATCTTAAAAAAGAAGAACAAAGATGGAGAATTTCTACTTTGTAATTTCAAAACTAACTACAAATCTACAGTAACCAACACTGTATAGTATTGGCATAATGACAGACATATAGATCAATGGAATAGAACTGAGAGTCCAAAAATTAAACCCTCACATTTATGGTCAATTGAATTTCAACAAGGGTAAAAATATAATTCAAGGAAGAATGATCTTTTTTTAATAATTGACACTAGGAAAACTGGATATCCATCTGCAAAAGAATAAAGTTGGACCCCTGCCTCATACCATGTGTGCCCTCCACTGAGCCCAGCAGGGACAGGCCTCTTTACGGCCAGAGAAGGAAGTCCCTACATGGCAGTTACAGTCAATGATCTTTGAGGCTGGGCTATCTAGGCCTATTTGCTCCTCTTCCTTTCTCTCCCAAATGTTCTGGGAGACCCCTGCCTCCCCACAGAGAGATTTTCATGGGCAACCCTGAGTGAGCTCTTTAGAGTCAGTCAGTGGGGTCAATGGGAGCAGCTTAGCCAGGATCTCCTTTCCCAGACAAAGTGCTTGGGTTCCAGCAAACTTTTCCAGACAGGCAGGGCCCTGTCCACTGATCTGGGCCTCCCTCCAGGGGCCAGGGTTAATAAAGCTTGATGCTCACAGCACAAAGCTAAATGGCTGTGTAGTAAAGCCACCCTCTCTTGTGCTGAGGGAGTTGGGCCAGGCTGCTGGGGTGGGCAGGGGACCCTGCTCCAAACCACCACTAATTAGGCCAGGAATGTACATTTAATCCAAGAAGAGTCAACTAGGTTTTCCCTCTGGAGAGCAGAAAGTAAGTAGTCAGGTGATATACTAGACATTGGAGCTGGGAAGCTTTGGAAAATAGGAGCCAGACTGGGGCCAAAGACTGTGGCTAGACATTGAGAAGTGAATGACAAGAACAGATAGGGGAAGGAGTAGACCTCAGGAAGATCAGGGACAGAGAGAGGCCTGGAGGCAGAGGAGCCCAAGGCCTGTTTCCTGCAGGTGAGCTCTGTGGCCTGCTACTCAAAATGTGATCCTGGACGAGCAGCACGGGAATCATCTGAGCCTTATTAGAAATGCGGAGTCTCAGGCTCCACCCTAGACATGTTATGTCTGAATCTGCAATCTAAAAAGTATGTACAAAGCAGGAAAACAACCATCTTGACCTCAACTGCAGAAATTTCTTACTTGACACATCCCCAAAGGCAAGGGAATCAAGAGCAAAAATGAACTACTGGGACCTCATCAAGATTAAAACCTTCTGCACGGCAAAGGAAACAATCCATAAAACTAATAGGCAACCAACAGAATGGGAAAAGATAGTTGCAAATGACATATCAGATAAAGGGCTAGTATCCAAAATCTATAAGGAACTCATCAAACTCCACACCCAAAAAATAAATAATCCAGTGAAGAAATGGGTAGAAGACATGAACACACAGTTCTCCAAAGAGGACATCCAGATGGCCAACAAACACATGAAACGATGCTCAGCGTCCCTCATCATCAGGGAAATACTAATCAAAACCACACTGAGATACCACCTCACGCTGGTCAGAGTGGCTAAAATGAGTAAATCAGAGGACTCTAGATGCTGGCGAGGATGTAGAGAAACGGGTACCCTCCTACACTGGTGGTGGGAATGTAAACCTATGCAGTCCCTCTGGAAAACAGTGTGGAGGTTCCTTAAAAAATTAACAAGAGAACTCCCCTATGACCCAGCAATAGCACTGCTAGGAATTTACCCGAGGGATACAGGAGTGCTGATGCATAGGGGCACATGGACCCCAATTCATAGCAGCACTCTCAACAATAGCCAAAACATGGAAAGAGCCTAAGTGCCCATCAACAGACGAATGGATCAAGATGTGGTTTATCTATACAATAGAATACTACACGGCAATGATAAAGAATGAAATCTAGCCATGTGTAGCAACATGGATGGACCTTGAGGGTGTTATGCTGAGTGAAATAAGTCAGGCAGAGAAGGACAGATACCATATGTTTGCACATATAGGAGATTTAGGAGGAACTTAACAGAGAACCGTGGGGGAGAAAAAGGGGGAAAATAGTTGGGGAGAGGGAGGGAGGCAAACCATGAGAGACTCTTGAATGCCAAGAACAAACTGAGGGCTGATGGGGGTGGGGGGGGGGGAAATGGGGTGATGGGCATGGAGGAGGGCACTTGTGGGGATGAGCACTGGGTGTTATATGTAAACCAACTTGACAATAAACTATTTAAGAGGAAAAAAAAAGTCAGTACAGATGTCAGCTTAACTAAATATAAGGAGAATGAATTCAGTAAGGAGAGGGCTTAATTATGACTTAAAATCCAGAAGCCAAGAAAGAAAAGACTAATACACTTGATTTCATAAAAATCAACAGAATAACTACAAAAAAAAGAACCAGATAAATGACAAACGGAAAAATATTTGCAACTCATAACATAAAGAGCCAATCTCCCCAGTATTCAAGACTTCCTACAAATTAATAAGAATAATGATCAATATGCAATAGAAAGATAGGGGCGCCTGGGTAGGTCAGTTGGTTGGCTCAGGTCATGATCTCATGGTTCATAAGTTCAAGCCCCGTGTCAGGCTCTGTGCTGACAGCTCAGAGACTGGAGCCTGCTTCAGATTTTGTGTCTGCCTCTCTTTCCCTGCCCTACCTCTGCTCATGCATGCTCTCTCTGTCTCTGAAAAATAAATAAAAGTTAAGAGAAAAATAGGTAAAAATATGAACAGGCAATTTATAGAAAAAGAAATGAAAATGGCCCTTAAACATACAAGGAGAAGCTCAACCTCACTCATAATAAGAGAAATGTAAATTTCTCTCCTGAGAGATCATTTTTCACCTTTCAGACTGGAAAAAAACAAAAAGCAGGATAATACATCTTGTAAGTCTGTAGGGGTACAGATGGGTCCAATTCTAGGTAGGCGATCTGGCATCATCCATTAAAAGTACACATGTCCTTGTGGCACCTGCATGGCTCAGTTGGTTGAGTGCCTGACTTGATTTCAGCTCAGGTCGTGATCTCACAGTCCTGAGGTCAAGCACTATGTACGGCTCTGCTGAGCATGAAGCCTGCTTAAGATTCTCTCTTCCTCTCTCTCCGTCCTTCCCCAGCTTGCACAGGTACTACCTCTCAAAAAAAAAACCCCAAAAGTACATGTCTTTGTGACCAATAAATTTACTTCTCAAACTTATCTTTCACATATATTCATATATTCACTCATATGTGAATTCACATTTCTACAAAGTTAATCATCACAACCATATATGTATTGTAAACAGAAGGAACCACCTAAAAGTTCCTCAATATGAATGGGTTAAATAAGTTTTGATATATCCTCACAGTGAGATACCAGTATACAGCTATTAAAAAAAAAAAGAAAGAAAACAAGCAGCTATGAGTTGACATAGATTGATCTTCAGGATACACAGTTAAGTGAAAAAAGCAAGATACAGCACAATGTGCAAGGGGAACAGTAGAAACAAGTGACCAAGGTTCCCTGCCAGAGCGGGTTGGTGGAACTGAATGGATAGGAACTGGGTATTTGTATATATACTTATATTTTGTGTATGTGTGTGTGTGTGTGTGTGTGTATGTATGTATGTTTTTTTAACAGAGAAAAAACGAAAGAACATGAACAGGGGAGGGAGACAGAGGGAGAGGGAAAGACAGGGAGAGAGAGAGAGACAGAATCTTAAGCAGGCTCCACACTGGGTGGGGAGCCCAACATGGGATTCAGTCCCAAGACCCTGGCATCATGACCTGAACTGAAATCAAGAGTCAGACGCTAAACTGACTGAGCCACCCAGGGATCCTGTATTTATATTTTTTACACAGTGAGCTCTCTCGAGCAGTCTCCCCATGTACACCTGCCACCTGCTGTATGGGAACAGCCTGTGGGCACAGAGAAGTTCACAGCACACAGGCTGTCTGTGTTCTGGCTCCAGACTAAGCCTCAGTAGACCGAGCCCCTCTGCTCCAACCCAACCTGCTCAGGGAGGAAAATGCAGACCCAGCCCATGACCTGTCTAGCTTTGCCTTCAGCCCCATGTGGGCCTCTGTCCCCTGCCTCCTGTTCATGGTAGCCCCCATTGCAGAGGTTGTCCCCAGCAGGCAGACCCCGTCCTGGACTAAAAACCACACATGGACCAGCTTAGCTCCTAACAGTCATGTCCAGGCCTGGTCCCAGGACTCTGGAGTCGGCAGGAGATCCCGGTGACTCTGTATTTCCCTCAGCTGGCGTGCTCCCTTGCCTTTCCAAAGTGAGAAGTGTGATCTCGGGTGTCCTACTAATGTGCTCCCCAAGGACCCACCTTCCCAGAGACATGAACCCCCAAGTTACCTTCTGTTCTGTCTTGGCTTTGGCGTTGTAGAAGGAGATGGAGTCAGGGCCCTCGGGCAGCAGCATGTGCTGCAACTGGCTGAACTTGTCCTGGTCATCTTCTCCCTAGAGGAGGCTCAACTCGGCACAGTCCCTTCAGCCTGGCCCTGTCAGGACTGACCCTGACAGGGCCTGTGGGGAGCTGCAGGGCAGCCCCTCGCAGGGTTCGCAAATCCCCGTGCAGGGTAGCTCATGACCCCAGCCCCAAGTTTGTCACATACTCTGTAACTGCCACTGGGGTGGGATGAGCCACCCCAGAGAGGTGACGGCAGCAAGTGATGTTTCCTGGGTTCCCATCTTCTCAATACCTGGGGAGAGACTATACCTGTCCCTTTGCTCGGGCCCGCCATGCGTGAGGCTGGGAGCAGCATGTACACTGCCGTTTCATGGAGAAAACAGAGGACAAAGGGTACTGCCCACTACTACCCCATGCTCGTCCATTACCCCCCCCCCATGCCCTTGTGCCACTCACCAGAGACATGAGCCTACTGACAGGCACCATGCCCGGCCGGATGTTGCCACCTGGCTTCAGTGCCATTTGTAGGTCCTCAGGGATGAAGAAGGACTCGTTGTACCAGATGTCAAATTCTGCAAGCGGGCAGGCAGACAGCACTGTGAGCTGTGGGGGCATCTCTGAGGGGGCAGGTAAGGCCTGTGTGGGCTGGTCACAGGCTCGCCCTCTCTTCACTTCCTCTTCCAGGGTCTCACCCTTTCCTATCTCCTTCCCCTGCCCTCAGAGGTTGTTTTTTGTTTTTTTTTTAAGTTTATTTATTTATATATAGAGAGAGAATCCCATGCAGGCTCCACGCTGATGAGGGGTGCAAACTCATGAATCACAAGATCATGACCTGAGTCAAAGTAAGATGCTTAACGGAGCCACCCAGGTGCCCCTCCTGGGAACACTTCTGAAGCCTCTGTCCAGCCCCAGCCTCTGTCAGAGAGCAGCTCTGAGGCCACAGCTGGAACTCAGGGGGTGGCCTTGCCCTCTGCCTCCGGGACCTCAGGTGGCCAGCCAACCTTCCCAAATGACACACCTGTGAGCAGGCGGTGACGACACTGATCCACCAGGTGCTGGCAGTACTGGATCTCTGCCCTGAGGTCACGCAGGTCCTGATACTCAGCACGGTACTGCTTCTTGAGGTCTTTGAGCTTCAGGATCAGCAGGAATTCCTCCTCATCGATGATCATCAGCCCCTTGTTTTCATACTCACCTGCAGGGATACAGGAGGTCAGAGAATGAGGTTCTCACTTGGGGTGTGGGGAGGAAGGTATTCTGGAAAGGCAGAACAAGGTGCTGGCAAAACACGAAGACCAGAGACCAGAAGAAGGGCTGGGGTGTGGTGTGGGGGGGTGGGCACAGCACCTGGCCTTGTGAGGCGGCCAGGGCAAGTCTCACTAGAAAAGGGGGCTCAGGTCAGAGGGGCCACACTGGCACCTTTAAGAACAGGAGGGGTGAGGGTATCTGGGTGGCTTAGTCAGTTATGCATCCGACTTCGGCTCAGTTCATGGTCTCACAGTCCGGTCCGTGAGTTCGAGTCCCACGTCGGACTCTATGCTGATAGCTCAGAGCCTGGAGCCTGCTTCAGATTCTGTGTCTCCCTCTCTCTGCCCACCCCCACTCTCTCTCTCTCTCTCTCTCAAAATAAACATTAAGGGGTCCCAGGGTGGTTCAGTCAGTTAAGTATCCGACTTTGGCTCAGGTCATGATCTTACAGCTTGTGAGTTCGAGCCCCACATTGGGCTCTGCTGACAACTTGGAGCCTGGAGCATGCTTGAGATTCTGTGTCTTCCTCTCTCTCTGCCCCTCCCACACTCATGCTCATTCTTTCTTTCTTTCTCTCTCTCTCTTTCTCATAAATAAATAAAACTTAAAAATAATAATAAACATAAAAAAAAAGAATAGGAGGGGTGGGTAGAGGAGAGGGTAGAGATGGCCCATACTTTACCCTTAATGTTGATCTTAAACCTCAGTGGCCAAAGATAATTCAGTAAGCACCTTGAGTAAATGAATGTTTTCCTTTTTTGTAAATTATGTACATGAACTGCCAGCACTGGCTAGTACGCAAGGCACTTGGACAAGGTTCCTTATTAATTACAGTGGCTGTAAATCTGTATCATGTCGAGTGGCTGTCAGAGGCTTCAGGAGGATGGGGTCAGTTGTGCTATTTATCAGTTCCACTCATTGTTTCTGCATGGCCTTTGAAGGTCTATCAGTTTGATGAGGGTCGCTGAGTTAAGATAACATGACACGGTCTGCGGAGCCACGCACTCAGCCGGCCACTGCCCACAGCACCTTGAAAGCTCAACATAGGCGTCATGTCAACCCTAGCAGGGAGTGTGGGGCTTCTACCCCCAGGACCCCTGAAGAGGGAGTCCTGCATGTGACTGAGGTGTGTGGTGGGGGTGTGCAAGGCAGTTTCCAGGTCCCTTCCACTGATGTTTGCTGGGGAAAAGTTAAGACACTGTCACAGACACCGTATATGGAGAGCCAACTGGGACCTTGAATTGGGACCAGTTCAAGGAGTCTGGAGTGTGAGGGGGTACAGTGTGGAGTGACCTGGTGTGTGTACTGTGGGCAGTCCCCAGTGTGGTCACTGTGACAGACACAAATCCTTTAGAGTAATACTGTATAATATTCTGTTGACATGGGGAGGGACTGTGAGCACCCTGTGTCCCACTGTGGGGGAAGGGGTTATCTCTGATTATGTCTAAGCAAAAAACTTCAACCTAAAATGATTTTTCAGGGGCACCTGGATGGCTCAGTCAATTAAGCATCCGATTTGATTTTGGCACAGCTCATGATCTCACGGTTCACGGGACTGAGCCCTGTGTCAGGCTCTGCACTGACAGCACGGAGCCTGCTTGGAATTCTCTCTCTCCCTCTCTCTCTGCCCCTCCCTTGCTCGAGCATGCTCTGTCTCTCAAAATAAATAAACATTTTTTAAAAATTAAAATGACTTTTTGGGGCGCCTGGGTGGCTTAGTCGGTTAAGCGTCCGACTTTCGCTTAGGTCATGATCTCGCGGTTTGTGGGTTCTAGCCCCCCGTCGGGCTCTGTGCTGACTGCCAGTTCAGAGCCTGGAGCCTATTTCAGAGTCTGTATCTCCCTCTCTCTCTGACCCTCCCCTGCTCACGCTGTCTCTCTCTCTCCTAGAAATAAATTAAAAAAAAATTTTTTTTAAATTAAAATGACTTTTCATTTTTCTTTCACAAAATACTAATCAACATGCCAAATTTGCTGAACTTTCTGGGCCAATAAGTAGCTATCAATCAAAATGAATCAAAAATGAATTTACTTGATCTATTTCTTCAAGATAAAAGTATTTTATTTGGTATTTTAACAACCAATGGGAACCACTGATGTTGGGGGGGGGTAAAAGCAAAAAAGTTTTCTTTGGTACTGATAGATAAAACTTTATTTATTTGTTTGTTTATTTGTTTATTTACTAAAGTTTATTTTTTTGTTTTGAGAGAGGGAGAGAGTGAGTTCAAGACCATGAGGGGGAGCAGAGAGTGGGAGAGAGAAAATCCTAAACAGACTCTGTGCCATCAGTGCAGAGCCTGGTGTGGGGCTCAAACCCATGAACCATGAGATCATGACCTGAGCCAAAATCAACAGGTGGATGCTTAAACCAATTGAGCCATCCAGCTGTCCCTAATAAATAAAATTTTAAGTATTTTATTTTACTACTTTTTTAATCAATTGAATAATAATAATTATTATAAAATAAAATAATTTATTTATTTTGGGAGAGAGGGCACGTGCATGAGTGGGGGAGGGACAGAGAAATCCTAAAGCAGGCTCCATGCCTAGCGCAGAGCCCAACTCAGGGCTCAATCTCACGGCTGTGAGATTTCAACCTGAGTTGAAATCAAGAGTCAGATGCCTAACCAACTGAGCCACCCAGGCACTCCTAATTTAAAATATTTTAAAATACTGTTTATGTATTCTTCATCTCATCCTTTAAAAATATTTGTTTTCAGGGGCGCCTGGGTGGCTCAGTCGGTTAAGTGTCCGACTTCAGCTCAGGTCATGATCTCGCAGTTCGTGGGTTCGAGCCCTGCATCGGGCTCTGTGCTGACGCTCAGAGGCTGGAGCCTGCTTCAGATTCTGTGTCTCCCTCTCTCTCTGGCTCTCCCCCACTCATCCTCTGTCTCTCTCTGTCTCAAAAATAAATAAACTATAAAAAAAAATATTTTAAAAATATTTGTTTTCAGGTATATTTAGGCATAGATGATATGTCAGCACAGCATGAGTATATATTATTTAAGATATGTAAATATGTAATAAGAAATTACATATTCAAAGAAGATGTGGGCAGAAGGGACAAAGGCGTACTTGGTCCTGGGGGTGCCTGGGGCTTCTGAGTGGGGGCATGTCTAGAGCTACCATCACCAGCCCTCCCCTGTCCCCTTGTAGGCTTTGCCTTCTGGAATAATGTGTCACAGTTGGTCTGTGCGGTATGAGCAGAGTGGCCTCAAGAATTTGTAGGTGCCCTTTGAGAAGTAAATGAGTAAAGTGCACATCTCACTGTGACATGATCCACCTAGCCTGCAGAAATAAAACAAATGACCCCTGGAGATGTCCCCACTGATCCGACCGCCTGGAGAAGGGTTATGATTTAGCAAGAGAAAGCCCAGCAACCTCTGGGTGTACCCTGCTGAGAGAAGCACAATGGGGCCAAGCCAGGATTGTGAACAAGAACATGGTCTCTGAACTTCTGGCCTCAGACCCAGGATAGTTACTCATTAAAATGCAGGTTCTGAGCCTTGCTCCAGATCTCCAGAGTTAGACCCAGCAGCCGGGGCCTGGGAATCTGGGGGTGACCAGCCCTCCCAGAGGAGATCTCTGCACACTCAAGCTTGAGGGTCCCTGGCCTACGGTGCAGGTGTGGTCAGTGTCTGCCTTTGGGACAAGGGCACCAGGTCAGGGTAACCAGGTGAGCACCCTCCCCACACTGAGGTCCCTGCTCTCTGAGCCTGAGGGTCCCCCACACCACCTGCCTTAGGAGACAAGACTTTGCCAGGTCAGCATTGGGTGTTAAGGATTTGGCATGAGGAATGGTCTTAGTGACAATGAACCCCCAGATCCTCTGGTATCCATATTCTCTTTCCCTCTTCAGTTTCTTGTGTCTTGACCAGCACCCTCATGCCAATCAGACTACCCTGGGTGGTGAGGAGAATACACCTAGGGACCTTGTGGGGGATGACAGCTGCCCATCTCCCTGGGAGGCCTCTATAAGACCAAGGCTGCTTCTCCACTGGGAGCAGCATATACCATGTAGAAGGCCCAGAACCTAGGTCTGAGATAACAAAATAATGGGGGACCCACAGGCAGAAGCTGACTGACAGGGAAGGACCCCGTGGCTCCCCAGGGCTGACCAGAGCCACGTGATGACTCAGGGGTGAAGACTGTACCCCAACATGCCCTGCGGCCCCACTCCCATCTGAGTCCTCCAGTACCCAGGGCTGCCTCATTTAGTGCCTAGGATACTCAGCTCCCACAGCCCCCCACCATCTTCCCACCATATTTACCTTGCTTCTCCCGGAGTGACTTCTGAAAATTTAGTGCCTCCTTGGTCACGTCCATCTCCCGCTTGATGGCATTGATACGCTGTGTAGTCTCGCTGGCCCTTTTCCTCCGCTCGTTCAAGATGGATTTGTTCTCTTTGAAGATGCGGTTGATCTCACTGCCTCGCTCGTTCTTAAAGTCCTCAAAGGCCACAGGTTTGGGGGGTGGGGTACTGGGCCTGAAGACAGAGGGGGAGGGCAAGGGGAAGGTGGGGTGGCAGTCTTAGAGCCTAGAAGCATTTGGCCTCTCTTCCCTGGGGCTTCCATGGGCAGAAGGCCCGAACTCCCAGACACCACCTATCCTGCACGGGAGCTACCCTGTGCAGGAACCGCTCACCCGTGTCTGTCTCACTTCAGCAAGCAAGGGCACAGGACCACTGCAGAAAGTGAGGACAGCAAGGAAAAGTGTAAAAACCAGAAAACAAAGCAAAAAACCACTCACTATGTATTAGCAATTATACTTTGGTATGTCTACTTCAGGGAATCTCTTTGATAAATGTTTTAATGTTTGAGGGGCACTTGGGTGGCTCGGTCGGTTGAGCATCTGACTCTTGATTTCAGCTCAGGTCATGATCCTAAGGTCATGGGATCGAGCCCTGTGTTGGGCTCCATGCTGAGCGTGGAGGCTGCTTGGGATTCTCTCTCACCCTCTGCTCCTCTCCCCTGCTCACACACACGCTCTCCCTCTCTCTCTAAAATAAAAATAAATAAATAAAGTTTTTAATGTTTGAAGTCACACAGTAGATGTGATTTCACATCTTTATTCACAGAAACATTCTTTCGTGTTATGAGGAACCCTGAGAACTCTGGTAAACGAGTTGTTATTGAAGTGCTAGGGCAGGGAGAAGTGGATTGTCCACAACTTCCTATGAAATACATCCAAAAAATGAGGCTTTGGGGTGCCTGGGTGTCTCCGTTGGTTAAAGGTCTGACTTCAGCTCAGGTCATGATCTTGCGGTCCATGAGTTCAAGCCTCGCGTCAAGCTCTGTGCTGACAGATCAGAGCCTGGAGCCTGCCTCAGATTCTGTGTCTCCCTCTCTCTCTGTTTCTTCCCTGCTCACTCTCTGTCTCTCTCACTCTCAAAAATGAATAAATATTTTTTTTTAAATTTTAAATAAGAGGGATGGAGAGAAAGATGGACATGTGATGAAATAGGTATAGTAACATGTTAAACGTAGAATCAAGAAAGTATTCACTATCCAGTACTTGCAACTTCTCTGAGTGCTTGGAATTGTTCACCTGCTGAGGAAAAAATTCTTCATGCACATCCTTGTACATCCCAAGGGCAGAGAGATAATAATTCATTTAGTGCCTTTGCCATAACGTTAGCTACTCTAGATATTTCACAAAAAGACTTTTTTGCTTTTTAAATTAATGAGGCAGTGAACATCTGTTTGCATAAATCTTTGTGCACATCTCTAATTATTTCCTCAGGACGGATTACTGAACACTCAATTACTAACTCACCAGGGAGAGAAACTAGGTAGCCAGAGGAAGGGGTCTCATACCTTGAGAATTTGGTGACTTTTTTCTTTTTTTTTCTTTCTTTTTCTTTAAGTAGGCTTCCAACCCAGCACAGAGCCCAATGTAGGGCTTGAACCCATGACCCTGAGATCAATACCTGAGTTGAGATCATGAGTCAGATACTGACTGAGCCACCCAGGTGCCTTTTGAATGCATTAGTTATTTAAAAATTTTTTTTAATGTTTAGTTATTTTGAGAGAGAGAGTCAAAGCACAAGCAGGGGAGGGGGTAGAGAGCAAGGGGGACAGCGCATCCAAAGCGGGCTCTGTGGTGATAGCAGAGAGCCTGATGTGGGGCTCAAACTCACGAACCATGAGATCATGACTAGAGCTGAAGTCGGATGCTCAACTGACTGAGCCACCCAGCTGCCCCTAAAATTTTTTAATTATTTAAATAATTGCTATTTGAAGGGTCTAAAATGATTCCATGTGTAACTGCGTATCTTGGAGGAGTCCTGAGGTGGGAGGACCATTTTGCATGAGTATAAGCCATCATGTTACTTCTTTTTGGAGTGTGCTCCTAGTCTTTGCCTATTATCCCTTATTTTATCTCATGTATCTGCAGGCACTATTGACATGTTGAGGATCACCCTCTGGTTTTGAAAGATCTGGAGCCGGAACTAGCATTAGAGAGTTACCTGGGTGGGCGTAATTCCTCTTTTGGGGAATCCGAAGGAAGGGGCTCAATGCTGGAGGTCTCCCGCTCCCGCATAATCATGTCTTTGACATCCCCCTCCTTGGAGGATGGGGTCATCTGGGTCTTGGACATAGAGACATCCAACTCTTTGCCACTCACAGGGCTGCTGGCACCTTCCTTTCTTGCTAAGGAGCTGGAAAGAGAAGGCAGGGAGACCCCAGGGCTCAGTCATGGGCAGTAAGGTATCTCTGGTGCTGAGTGGAGTGACCTTTCCAAAACCTCATAAATCAGAAGCCCCATCCCACTCAGTCCTATTTAGATCATACACATGGGCCCAAAGGCAAAGAATAAGACCCTATGAGTAGGAAGAAGAGAGAATTCTTCTCCCCCTCTTCAGCAGCCTTGGCAGGAGACACCTGCGAAAATGGCAGTCTCCAGGTCTGAAAGCAGGTGGACCTGTGGGGGTGGGCCACAGGCTCCTGAGAGCATCCTGGCCACTGAGACACTCATCCATCACACAGGCATCCCTGGGAAGGAGTGGCAGAGCCCCCACTCAGGTTAGGTCTGTCTGTGGACCAAAGGTAAAACAAGACATGTCTGCCCCGATGCCTTGACCAGTCCATGATCTGCATTCTCCCACCTACATGAGTGCCCACACCAGCTCTCAGAAAGGTAGCTGCCCTCCCTCTCCAAGTGATGGTGCCCAGGGTCCTCCTTCCCAGAGAGGCACATCTGAGCGGCCTGAACCATCAGGAGGATGCTAGGGGCCTCGACAACCCCACTACCCGACTCTTGTCCTGCATGGGATGGTTTTCTAAATCAGCTTTGGGCTGTGTCCTTTACCAAGTGATAGTAACAGAGACAACACATCCCATTGCATACTTTCTAGGTACAGGGACTGCATTCACCCACTTATCTTCACAACAGCTGCCAAGACTTTGATGCTACTATTATAATTCCCAACTTAGGGACCAGGAAATGGAAGCACAGAGAGGCTGTCGTGCCTCACCCCTTGGGTGAAAGGCGCCTCCTAGAGTCCATGCTCTTTGTCCACTGCTACCAGCACCTTCCAGGGAGAGTGTCTCATTAAGCAAGACTTGCATACACAAATGACCCTTGCCTGAAGGTGAACTGCAGTCTTTAGGTGACATGAGCACCAGGCAGCTGGGTCACAGGTGGTTTCCGCATGAAGTACCAGAGTGGGGAGTGCTAGCCTGGCCTCTCTCTTCTACTCTACCACTCATCAGTGTTGTGGCCTCAGACATGACTTCCTTCCCCTCTCTGGGCCTTGGTTTCCACATCAGTAAAATAGAGACACTAATGCCCACCTTGTGGGGTTGCCGTGTGGATAAGAGGTAACCAGCCCAACCTGAGTCCCACAGATATTGCTAGTATTGGCAGTAATGCGAGCAACTGTGACCACCCAGTAGCTAAGGCACTAGCTGAGCTACTCTCTTCTTTCACCAGACAAGGAGGGCCAGGTGCTGAGCAGGTAGAGGAGCAGGGAGGTTACTCACCTGAGCTGCTCTCTGAATGTCTTCTTGGACTTGGATTTCTTCCCAGGTTTGGCAGAGAAAGGGGTGACCCCGAGTCCAAAGCCTTGTCCATCAGGCTCACCTACTAGGTGTCCTTCAACATCCACAATCCCTGCCTGGAAGAGGCCAGCCACAGGGCCAGGAGTTAGATGAAGGGTTCTGAAGTGTGGGGGACCCAAGCACTGCATAAGTGCTCAGGTGGGCATGTTGACCCCACAAACCAAGATGGCTGTCGCCAGTGCCGCTGACTTCAGGCTGCCTCCAACAGCACTATCTCTGACCCTCTACCAAATTTCCACATTTCCACATCAGTGCCACGCAGTGGTCTGGTGTCTCACGCCATACCCTGAGGATCTCGAGTCCTGTTGCCAACATGACTCCAGGAATTGGTCTTGTCTATGGTCATGTCTCTAATTTTGGAAATCACCTTGAATTCCTATACGGTAGACTCTTACATGGGTCACACTCATCCTGGTGTTACCTTTACCTGTTGCAACCCTAAATCTGCTTTAATGTGGAACACTTGCTTGCTGCTTCTGGAAACGTCTGTGGATGGAAAAATGTGATATGAGTGCTGTCAACAAGAAGCAACCATGCATACCTTCTGGACCGCAGAAATGGCTGCAAAGTCATTCTTGTCTATGAGGGTATACTTCCTGCGCAAAGCAGATTCTACTTCCTGTTCCTGTTGGCTTGAGAGACAATGAGAGAACAGCTGGTACCTGGGGCCATGCTGAACCCTTGGAGCGAGAACCAAGTACTGGAGGAGAGCGCGTGTGGGTGTGGCCCCCACACCCTCCCCATGAACCAGACCAGACAAAACAAGTTCATGCCACACCCTGATTTCTCAGTGCACACACCTATTGTCCAGCCTCCCAAATCTGCAATGGCCACCCTTGTGTGCCAGGCACTTCTGCTCCAAGATAACTTTAACAAGGACTGTAAGCCTGCCTCAGGACCATGCTTTCCTGCCTAGGTGCTATCTTTAAAAGGCCCTTTTGTGGGTACCTGAGTGACTCAATTGGTTAAGCATTTGACTTCAACTCAGGTCATGATCTCACCACCGTGAGTTCAAACTTCGCATCAGGCTCTGTGCTGACCACTCAGAGCCTGGGGCTGCTTCGGATTCTGTGTCTTTCTCTCTTGCTGCCCCTCCTCCACTCAAGCTCTGTCTCTCCCTCTCTCCTCCTCCCTCAAAAATAAATAAACATTTAAAAAGTGCCCTTTGGAATCATGTGACCCACTTCTGTGATCCACCCAGCATGAGCTGCTCAGTCTACAGTTATGCCTGCACCCATATAAACCACAAATGCCTCCTGAGGTGGGGGTGGGGAGCAGGGAGTATTCATGATGCCCTGCTCTGGCCATGCTCAGAGCTGGCACTCCATAAGGACCTTCTGTTGAGTTAATGAACTCAAGAAACAGCTACCAGGGACTACTTCTGCTCTGAGTTGTCCTTGAATGGAGGGCTGTCTTCCCCGCTTCCCCCAGGGGAAGGTAAGGGCTGGAGGATTTGAGAGCTCAGGGGGCTGGGTACACCCTCAAGGACTCTGATCTGGCTCTTCACCCACGAGACAAGGCAGTGCGCTTACAGACCGCACCCATGGTGGGGAGGGGAATGAAAATGGCAGCCTTACCTCAGAACCACCCGGAACTGGTTGAACACTTCTTGGATCTGTCTGAGGTTGATTATCTGGAGGGAAGAGAGCAAGACAGAGATTGCACATTTAACAGCACAGCACAGGGTGTGTCTGTTCGCAGAGAAACTGGGACTCCTTGAGTAACCCTTTGATCCTCTGTCTTGAGAATAGAATATCAGTTCTCCTCAAGAACAGAGACACGATTGGTTCAGTTTTCAAGCTAAGTATTTATTGAGACTATAAAAATGAACCTTGCCAAGTGAAGATCTCTGTAAAATTAGAATGCCTCTAGTACTTGGAAATACTAAGAAAAGCATTTTAATAAAATGTATTGAACTCAGCTCTCCCCACTTTCTAAAAAGTTCCATTGTGAACTTTGTGTGTGGTTACAGACATGTATACACCTGTGGCTGGGGGAAGGTTCGGCTTCCCTCTCGGCCCTAGCATTAGCCCTGAGGGTCAGTCTGGGACTAAGCCTCCCACAAGGCCCGAAGAGCCTGCTCCTCCATTATCCGAGGCCTGCCAGTTATAGCTGCTGCAGTGACGGGCTAGGGGTGGGGGTGTCTGCCATGTAGCTCCCTAATGAGGGGTCTGCTGGCCTGCACTGTGAAAACAGAATGTGTCCTTCCTCCTGAGGGACCTTCCTCACGTGGCTGCCATCTCTTCCTCCTCGGCCCACTCCAACACAGGCGCTGGGTGTCTGCCTTGTAAACCAGCATGGCTGTCACCCTTGAACAGCCTCGCACCACCTGGCACAGCCAAGCACCTGAGCTCCTGCAGCTCAGTTAATTCCAGCTTGGTTTCCTCCTCACTGTACAAGTGTGGCCACCAAGTTCTCAAGGTTGAGCATTTTGTGGCTGTCACTCAGCAAAGAGACAGCTGAGCTGAGACATGATTCAGGGCTCCCTGGCTCCAGGGCCTGCACTTGTGAGTGATGGGCCACCCCCTGTGTGGTCAGGGCTGGTCAGGGCCGTTGGCCTCTCTGTGCAGCACACCCATCCTTGTCACCCTAAATATGGATGCTGAGGCCTTGGTGGGCTGCGGGGCCCAAGGCCAGGGGTCCAACACCACCCACCCAACACCCACTGCACCTACTCAGTGTGAGGTTCTAAGGCCAGCACAGCACATGTGGGGGTATGCCCAGGATATGGAGGCCCAGGCCACCGGGCATGGTGGTCCCAAGGAGATGCTCCTTACATCGATCTCGTCCAGCGTCCCCTCTAGGTACCTCCGCACCTGGGAGTTGATCTCAGCAATCTGGATTTCATCCATGGGATCGTAGTTCACAAGGGTGCGGTTGGCCTTGGAGGAGGATGAAGAACATGTCAACAAGCTCCAAACACCTGAGCCCAACAGGGGCAGGAGGGGTCATTCTGAGAATCAAGGTGGAGAGGTTGGGCACAGGCCCTGGCCACCTAAGCCAGCTCCATTCCCTTCACCATCAGGTCCTGGCCAGGTGCTCGGGTCACAGAGGGACAACTGGGTCTTGGAGGGAAGGAGAGCCGCCTGTTATGCGCTTGCCACTCCAAGCAAGGGGCTCTGCTGGCTGAGTCTCAGCAGACACTAGGATGACAGCCATGGGAGGGAGGTGGCTGCCTCTGTCTGGAGACCCCCCTGGACTGTGAGCAGGCCCAGGCAAACCACCAGAGATCTCCTGTCCCCACCCTCTGCCCTCAAGACTCTCTGCTGCTGCCCCTCCCCCACTGCCCAGTATGCCCTACCTCCTCTGACCTTGACCGTCATGCTGTCTACCCCTGCCCTACCTACCTGGCACTTGGCCCCCTGCCTCTCATCCTCCTGGCAACTGTCTGCCTCTGCTCCCTGATATCTGACACTCCTGCCCACACCCTTCTGCTCTTCCGGTTTCCCTGCACACCAGGCATCCCTGGCTCCCCAGCTCCTCTGACCCCAAAGTCTCCCTGCCTACTCGGCCTCCTACAGATCTGGCCCCTGTCCACCCAGTCCCTCTGCCCAGTTAGTACTGTGACCCCAGTCCCTCGGGCACTCCGGCTAGCACCTCACCCAGCCCCCTGCCTCTAGCCCCTTACCAGGCTGTCGTGGATGGCCAGCTCCTGCTTGAGCAGTGCCAGCTCCTTCTCCAGGTTCTTGACCATTCGCTGCCAGGGAAACACAGTTTGGGGCAGGGCAGGAGGACAGTCAGAGAGGCCACCTGGCCTCTTCCACACCAAGCCCACAATTCCCCAGCCTGTGCTTGGACATCCCAGCCCCTCCTGGTAATGCATGGAGTGTGATCTCAGCATCTGGACAATTCCCTCCCCACCAGTGACTCTTCCCCAACTGGGGTGAGTTTACGGTCTTTAGGGGCCTCACTGCTTCTTTCAGCAGGCAGAGGAGATAGAACTGAGTGAGCACAGGGGCGCCTGGGTGGCTTAGTCGGTTAAGCGTCCGACTTTCGCTTAGGTCATGATCTCGTGGTTCGTGGGTTCGAGCCCCGCGTCGGGCTCTGTGCTGACTGCCAGCTCAGAGCCTGGAGCCTGTTTCAGAGTCTGTGACTCCTTCTCTCTCTGACCCTCCCCTGCTCACGCTGTCTCTCTCTCTCTCTCTCTCTCCTAGAAATAAATAAAAATATTAAAAAAAAAAAAAAAGAACTGAGTGAGCACAGACACCTCACACCCCAACTTCCAGGAGCTTCGGGATATTTCCAGTCTACCAGGGTGAAGGCCTTCTCAGTGCAGCCCACTGCCTCCAGGAGGCTCTCCATGCACAGCCTTACCTTTTACCCTCATCCTTCCCAACCACTGCACAAACATATCACATCCCCTGCTGATAATCATGTATGTCACCTCCAAATTTTTTGCCATTTTAAATAAGGCTACACAACATTTTTGTACTTATATCTTTGTGTCTTTATAGGTTTCTGTAGGATAACACAGGCTCTTTGTGATCTGCCCCCGTAAATTCTTCCCTACTGTTCTCCCAAAGCTCATTCCACTCCTACCAAACTGGCACACTCCCGCCTCTGCACTGCCTGTCCCCTCTGCCCAGGACTCTCTTCCCCAGGTATTGCCCTGGCGCACCCCCGCACCTCCTTCAAGTCTTTGTTCAAAAGCTTCTAAATTAGGCACACTTCAATCACTGTATGTAAAACTGCAGTTTTACACACTCCCCACTCCCACACCACTCTTTTTTCAAATCTTGCTCTGATTTTTTTATAGCACCTATCACCAACACACCCTAGAGCAGTGCTGTTTAACAGAACTTCCTGTAATGTTCTATATCTGTGCCCTGAGTTACATGTAGCTACTGAACCCTAGAAATGTCACTAAGGTGACCAAGGAAGTGAACTTTTAATTTTACGTAACTAATTTAGATAACCCAAGCGAGTAGCAGCTATTGTACTGGATGGTGGAGCACTAGAACTTACCTATTTCTTTTATTTTTTAAGTTTCTTTTTAAGTTTCTTTATTTATTTTGAGAGTGACAGAGGGAGAGGCAGGGGGAGAGAGAGAGGAAGAGAGAGAATCCCAAGCAGGCTCCACGCTGTCAGTGCAGGGCCCAATGTGGGGCTCAAACTCACAAACCGTGAGGTTATAACCTGAGCTGAAATTGAGAGTCAGATGCCACCCAGGTGGCCTTTTAAATTTTTTTAAAAGAAAAATTGTAGGCAGACATACCTCATTTCATTGTTCTTTGCTTTGTTGAGCTTCTCAGATACTGTTTTTTATAAATTGAAGGTTTGTGACAACCCTCAATCAGGCAAGTCTATCGGCACCATTTTCCCACAACATTTGCTCACTTCCTGTCTCGGTGTCACATTTTGGTAATCCTTGCAGTATTTCAAAATTTTCATTATTATTTTATTTGTTATATGATCTGTGATCAGTGATGATGAGTCACTGAAAGCTCAGACTTGGGGTTAAGTAGGCTCCATGCCCAGCGTGGAGCCCACTGTGGGGTTTGAACTCCCCACCCTTAGATCAAGACCTAAGATGAGATCAAGTGTCAGACACTTAACTGACTGAGCCACCCAGGTGCCCCAGCAATAAAGTATTTTGCAATTAAGGTCGGTACATTGTTTTCTTAGACATAATGCTATTGCACACTTAATAGACTACAGTATAGAGGTGCCTGGGTGGCTCAGTCGGTTAAGTATCCAACGCTTGATTTCATCATAATATCACAGTTTGTGAGATTGAGCCCCACATCGGGCTCCATCCTAACAGTTTGGGGTCTGCATAGGATTCTCTCTCTCCCTCTCTTTTCCCCTCTACCTCTCCAGACTATGGTATAGCATAAAAGTAACTTTTATAGGCACTGGGAAACCACAAATTCATTTGACTTGCTTTATTGTGATATTCACTATATTATAGTGGTCTAGAACCGAACCCACGATATCATTGAAGGTATGTCTGAATATTTGAGGTGTACAACGTGATATACACACACATAGTAAAATGATTACTATAGTCATGTTAACTATCATATCTATCTCCTCACCTAGTGACCACGTTTTATGTGTGGTTAAAAGCATCTGAGATCTACTTTCTCAGCAAAGCTCAGATGATGTTTAGCATTTTTGAGCAATAAAGCATTCTTTAATATAGTATACAATACAGTATTATTTTTTGAAAAAATCTTTAATGTTTATTTGAGGGAGACAGAGAGAGAGAGGGAGAGACAGAGCTCGAGCGGGGGAAGGGAGAGAGAGAGGGAAACATAGAATCCAAAGTAGGCTCGAGGCTCTGAGCTGCCAGCACAGAGCTCAACATAGGGCTTGAACTTACAGACCGTGAGATTATGACCTGAGCTGAAATCAGATGCTCAATCAACTAAGCCACCCAAGTACCCCTACAATTCGATATTATTAAATATGGCCACCATTGTACATTAGATCCCCAGAACTTATCTGTCCTATAAATGAAAATTTGTGTCTTTTGACCCCTTTCCTCAGCCCCCACTCTTGATAACCACTGCTCTACTCTCTGCTTCTATGAATTTGATTTTTTAGGTTCCACATGTAAGTGAGATCTTGCAGTACTTTTCTTTCTGTATCTGGCTTATTTCACTTGACATAATGTCTTCCAGATTCATCCACTTTTTTTTTTTAAGTTTATTTATTTATTTATTTATTTATTTTTAACATTTATTTATTTTTGAGAGACACAGTGTGAGCAGGGGAGGGGCAGAGAGAGAGGGAGACAAAATCCGAAGCAGGCTCCAGGCTCCAGCCTGTGCTGACAGCCCAGAGCCTGACACAGGGCTCAAACTCAAGAACTGCGAGATCATGACCTGAGCAGAAGTCGGGTGCTTAACTGACTGAGCCACCCAGGCTGACTGAGCCCCTTAAGTTTATTTATTTAAGTAATCTCTACACCCAATGTGGGGTTCAAACTCACAACTCAGAGATTAAGAATTACATGCTTTCCCGACTGAGCCAGCCAGGCTCACTAATTTCTTACATTTATCATATCTCTCTCTCCCACCCCCAGTAGACTGTTAGCTCCTTGAGGACAGAGATTTGTGGTTTTTGTATATTAACACACTCTAGGTGCTTCAAAAAGTGCCTGGCACATGGTAAGTGCTCTATCGATTTTAGGTGAATGGATAAATGATATATTTCTAGGAACAGAATTGCTGACTCATTTTACATTTGATAGATACTGTCCTGCTGTCTTTCAAATGAGAGGCACAAAGGATTTTATGCTGAAACCTCTGAACAACAGGGCTTTCTTCAGTTGTCAAAAAATGGCCACTGGAGGGAGCTCCTGACAACTGGATCCTGACAGTGGTGACCAGAGCTGCAGGGAGAGGTGACAGAACCCTGGCATCCTGGTGTCTCTGCCACAATTCAGGGCACAAAGCCTAAGACTCAAAGCACATAACCGGGGTCCAAATCCTGGCTCTGCCTCTCTGAGAATTCCCAAGAGGGTCTCCTTTGGGTAGACTTCCTATGAGGTCAGTGGGAGAGGCTTGGTGGCCAGTCCCTCCTCTCTGCTGGGGGATCTCAACTCTAGAAAACACATCATGCCCTGGGTAGGGAAAGTCAGGCTGTTGAGGGCCTCCAGCTGGATGACTGTCCAGTGTGGCACGGGAAGCCAGGCTTACATCTCTGGGCCAATCAGCTGATGTGAGGAAGTGGACCATTGGCTTCCCCCCTAACCAGCCTCCATGTCACGTCCTGAGAGCATAGGAGCTACTTCTCATGCCTGCCAGGCTCACCCTCCTGTACTGACTGCAGAGAAGCTGCTTGGAAACACAAGGCTGGAGCACCAGACCCCACAGCACAGGGCCGGACAGCACCTCCTTGTGACCAACTCCTTTTTTTTTCTTTTTCTTTTCTTTTCTTTTCTTTTTTTTTTTTTTTGGTATCTCAGATGGAACATGCAGCTGACCAACGCCTTTAAAGATCAGGGACATTTTCTGAATGGAATTAATGCCTTGGAAACAGCACAGACTCAGGTAAGTTCCCTGATGGTCAGGGGTTTCCATCATAAACATAATGAGGATCATTCAGAGTGTTCTGTTTAGGTAGCACAGCAGACTAGGAGCGGCTCTCTGCTTGGGAAACTTCCCTGGTTGAGCCCACTGCAGCCTGCAGGTACGATCTCTCAGCAGAGCACAATACCAAGTGTCTGACTGCTGGCTCTTTACGCCCAAGGCTCACAACCTTTACACCATCTCAGAATCACAGACTGCCGAGTGCGAGGGTCACTGGAGGTCATCGGTCCAGCCTCCTAGTTCATAGGGGAAAACTCTGAGGTAATTCCATGGAAGCTACCCCATGGTCACGAAAACAGGTGTCTATACTGAAGATGGCCCTGGAAAGAACACAGGCAGACTGGCTGTGGTCTATGAAAGGTGGCAGCCCAAGCAATTTTCCACATCTCTCTCAAGAACTAATGTTTATAAATATTTATCATTTTTTTTAAAGTTTACTTATTTATTTTGAAAGAGAGAAAAAGAGACAGAGCATGAAGGAAGGACAGAGAGAAAGGGAGAGAGAGAAAATCCCAAGCAGATTCTGCCCTGTCAGCACAGAGCCCAATTTGGGGCTGTAATTCATGAAATCATGAGATCATGACATGAGGCAAAATCAAGAGTTGGATGCTTAACCAACTGAGCCACCCAGGCCTCCCATAAATGCTTATCATAAAGATTCTAAACATGTTCACACTGCATAACATGGAAAGGTGGCTGGGCAGGACCAAAAACAGTGCAGATTTCAGAGCAAAAATTACATGAAAGAACATAAGAAAATTAACAAAAATAAATAAAAACTCCTAGCACAGAAGCATGGCAAACAATGCCACGAAACTGAAGAGCACCCCGAAATCTGACTTTAACAGCATGCTGCCATATCTTTTTCTTTTATTTTTTTTAATTAAAAAAATGTTTTATTAAAAACATTTTTTAATGTTTATTTTTAAGAGAGAGAGAAAGAGACAGAGCGCGAGTGGGAGAGGGGCAGAGAGAGGGAGACACAGATCCAAAGCAGGCTCTAGGCCCTGAGCTGTCAGCACAGAGCCTGATGCAGGGCTTGAACTTATGGACTGTGAGATCATGACCTGAGCCAAAGCCGGAAGCTTAACCAACTGAGCCACCCAGGTGCCCCTTTTTTTTAAATTTTTTTAAATTTTTATTTTTTAAGTAGGCTTCATGCCCAGTGTGGAGCCCATTGCAGGGTTTGAACAGTCCCTGAGATCATGACCTGAGCTGAGATCCAGTCAGACACCTAAGTGACCAAGGCACCCAGATGACTCACCCCCTTTCTAAAGAAATAAAACACTGCAGACAAATATGCAGCCCCTGTGTACCTCTCTCCAAGTCCATCCCCCTTGACATCCCAGAGGGAACCCCCAGCCTTTGCTTCTCATGTGTTTAGACTTGGCATAAATGACAGACGCTACCAGTTGGCCCACTTCAATCCCACTTGAGATTACCCAGATGGCAGCTTGAGCCCTGACTCCCTCCCTCCCTCAGCTCCTCTGCGGTGAAGTGGGCTAGGGTAGCGGTCAGGGTCACGTGCCCAGCTGCTCCCTAGTGGAGCAGTGCAGGCTCTTCACACAGTATGTGGGTAATGTCTCCAGGCTGTCCACCCGGAGAGGGAACACCGCTGACCTGTACGAGTGAGCAGCCCACTAGCTAACATTTACTGAGCATTCACTCGTCCATGACACCGTGACAAGAGTTTCTCCCCGTTATCTGGTTCTTTGCAGCCTCTCTTTGGGAGTGGACTTTGTTCATCCAATTTACTAGTGAAGAAATGGCGGCCTTACAAAGAATAAGCATCTTGCTGAGGCTATACAGCTGATGGAAGGAAAGAGCAGGCTGCTGAACCCCCAGTGTGGGGGCCATGGCTCTTAATTACTCCCGTGGTTCTCTAGTGTGGTCCTGGCACAGCAGCAGCAGCAACATCCGGGAACTTAGAAACATGAATCCTTAGGCCTCACCCTTGGGCCAGTGGAATCAGGAACTCTGAATGAGTCCAGTGACCTGCTGTTCAAGAAGCCTGCCGGGTTGGGGGTGGGGCTCCTGGGTGGCTCAGGCCATTAAGCAGCAGGCTCCAGGTTTCTGCTCAGGTCATGATCTCATGGTTCCTGAGATCAAGCCCCATGGGGCGGGGTGGGGAGCTCTGTTCTGATGGTGTGGAGCCTGCTTGGGATTCTCTCTCTGCCCCTCCCCCTCACATTTTCTCTCTCTCTCTCTTTCTCAAAACAAATGAACATTAAAAAAAGAAGCTAGTCTGGGGTTTTGCGACCAGCTCATGTCTGAGAGCCACTGCTCTAACCCATCCCCCTCCTCAACATCCAAATCATGGGTTAGTTACACAGAGCCACAGGGAAATCCTTATTTTCCTTCAGGATTTGGAATCTGGAAGATTTAACTGCCTTGTCCTGAGCTCAGGGCCTGTATATGCTCCTGTCTCTGGTAACCATGATTCTACAAGCATCCTAAAGGAAAATGAGGTAAATGAGTTTTTACTTTACAAGAAGTTTCCAAGATACTCTCGAAAGCAATTTTATCGGTTACGCTCTGGCCAGAAACAGACAAAAGCTCCCGTCTCTGCGCATTCTTGCCATTACTCTACATTGTTGGAAACATGCTAAGTTTTGCTAGTCTAAGGGTGAAATTCCACTAAGGTTTCAACCTGCATTTCCCTGGTTAGTGGTGATGCTGAGCGTTCCTTCTGATTGGTCGGCTGTGCTTGCTGAAAGGGATCATACAGGCTGGCGGGAAAGAGGTTCTGTAGTGATATAACCAGAGGAGCCTGAGAGATGGTCCACACTGACTGAACTCTGAAGCAGCTCTAGGGAACTCTCATGTAGAAGCCTGGGGCAGTCAGAGGCCCTGAAGCCTCACACATGAACTGGGTGGTGACCTGACTTAGCCCTTTTACCTGTGTGGCGGCTCCCAAGTGGGGGTCCCCAGGGGCTCGGAAGACTCTGGCCTGTCCCAGGATCTCATCGAGGCAGGAAGGGAAGCCAGGCTGTGTGACCCAGGCAGCAGACCCACACACTTCCAAAGGGAGACACCTGCCCACCAGCCCTGAGTACCTCAGCATCATACTTTTCATTGATGGCAGGCTCAGTGGTGACCAGCTTCATCCTGCTGGCGAACCGCAGTGAAGACAGCTGAAAAACAGATCAGACAGACCTCTAGGTCTTTGGCCAATTGCTTGAGAACAGAGATATTTTTAAAACAGGCCAAAGGAGTCTGCTGGGAAAGACGAATTTCTGCATATAAGCATATTCCAACATCAAGTGTAGGGTTTCCTTGGGGGTTCCACTTGAGTCCCTCTGAGGGGGCAGCCAGGCAGGGGTAATTATGGCTGCAGGCTCATGAGGCGGCCGCATGAGTAGGCACTTGAGAAACAGCCCCGGCACTGTGCCCCACTGCACCAATGTTACAGGACAGGTGGAGGGCTGTTCCTTGGCAATGAGGAGCTGCCAGTGGTAGAAAAAGGCAGGCCCGAGATCCCAGCCTCACGCCATGCCAGGTTGACTCAGGGCTCTGAAACGGAGGGGTAAAGGGAGGAGGGTCACCCAGAGGTGGCGCAAAGAAGGCCCCAAAGGGCTCCCCCTTCAGGCAGTCTGCTCTGGTGGTTAAGAACTCTGCCGCTGACCAACCGCACAACCTCAGACAGGTTTTGTAACTTCTCTGTAAAGTCGGGGAGACTTTGTGAAGAGGTGGGCAATGTGCTCTGGATAGACCTGGCCATAGGGAGCCCTCGGGAGGAGACCCTGTCACTACAGTTGGAGCTGCTCCTGTGTGGGGTGGGCTCGGATGCAGCTGCTCCAAGCGCAGCAAGTGTCCCCCTTGCAGTGTTTACTCCCACATGCACATGCAGTGGCCCTGAATAAAGCAATATGACCCATGACAGGAACAGTGTTAAGGTTTTAAAGCATTTGGAGAAGAGAATCATTAGCTTCAACACCCCAAGATGCCTTTGTCCCAAGCCCCTGAGGCCTCTCCACAGCCCCTCTAGGCTCCGTGGGCTCACAAACCTCCAAGGACAGCGGGTATAAGCAGAGTGGTTTCCTATTGGTGACCAGCTCAGGGGTGGGGACGAGGAGAGACAGGAGCCTTCCACCATCTTGGAGGGCATTTCTCAACAAGGCAGCCAGGAGGCCCAATTTTCACACAGCTCCTCTTGGGTTCACTGATGCTATGTTATCCTACGTAGCTCCTGAGGCCATCCTCTGGGGATGCTGCTTGCACGTCAGCCAGAGCCCCCTCGCCGGTCTCCCGAGGCCCAGGACACTCGCCCTGGAAGCAGGGACGGTCCCTTAAGCAATAGCCTGGGAGGCCCTGCAGGAGCATCTTGCCCTGCAGTGTGCCTGGAAAGGACCTGTTTCACCTTAGTGGATTCTCCAGATGACCCAGGCTTGCCCAAAACCTCCACACCTGACAAAACATCCATGGAGAACTTTCCAAATCTGTCTTGTTTACGATGAGTGGCCCTTCAGAGGAAGAAGGGAAGCCCCAGCCGGGGCGCCCCGTTTGTGAGCTCAGTTGTATCACTGCCTCAGCCATCAGAGCCCGTATTACTGCCTCTGGGTCTTATAAGCTTGTCCCCTCCCAGGTCCCCTTGGGGCCCGCTGCTGGGTTCATCTTCCTGAGTCACAACTCTGGCCACAGCCCTCCCTGCTCAAACCCCACGACACTCCAGCAACTGTCAGAACAGCCACAGTGGCAGCCTGGCCGCCTGGGCCCAAGCAGCCTCTGCAGTTTTTTCTCCCTGCTCTTCTTCCTGAGCCCTCCCCACAAGGGCCAGCTGTTCCTGGCATGGGCCACACCTTCAGGCCCACCGTTGCCTCTGCCAGGAGCATCTCGGTTTTCTTTTTGTTTTACTTTATTTATTTTTAAATATTTATTTATTTTGGGGGAGAGAGAGAAAGAGAGAGTGTGCAAAAGGGGCAGAGAGAGGGGGAGAGAAAGAATCCCAAGCCAGGCTCCATTTTGTTAGCACAGAGCTCGATGTAGGACTCGATTCCACAAACCATGAGATCCTGATCCTGAGCCAAAACCGAGTCAGCCACATAATGAATTGAGCCACCCAGGCAACCCACATCTCTGCTTTCTGTACCACCAACTCTTTAACCCCAGCCAGCTCGGTGCCCACCTTCCTCACCCTACTTTCAGGAAAAGTCTCTTTTCCTCTGAAGGATTCCTTCATCTGGGCCTCTCCCATTACTCAGGGCCACGGCAAGAAACCCTGAGGCCCAAGGCCCCGTATAACTCACCTCTACTGAGCTGCCCTTCCCCCACCCCCCTATGCTAAATGCTTACTGCCTGTCAGTTTGCACCAGCCTTATAACCACAGCCTGGAACCCTATGGTGCTTCCAAGATTTTTACACATGTAATTATGAAGAATAAGCAATCAGTTGCCCTAGATCCCAATTCACGGGAGCAACACCCCATGCAGCATGGTTCTTGCCCCTGCAAAACTCTCTTCACACAGACCCCACACTGCGCCTGCTTCCTGCCTTGCCTTTTCCTCAACACAGCCTCTGCCCCTTGGTACTTGGTATTTGGACCCCACAACAATTTCAGTGGATTCATCCCCTGGGTCTCTTCCCTCTTGACAAGGTCTATGGCCCAGTATGCTGGCTTAGCCAGCCCGGAGCCAGCCTTACCCAGCCCTGGAACCCACGAGCAGGGATTCCAACCAGGCCGCCTTGGCTATCTTTACGTACCGTCTCTTCTAACTGGGCGGCTTCTCCATAGATGTTTGTCAAGAGGACCATATTGCAATTTCCCCCTGCAGAGAGCAGGACACAGAAGGGCCATGAACCATGTGGGTTTTCTGCCAAGAGATTCCTTTAAGGCTGGTGGGGGTCTGCTACGGATTGCGTGTTTGTGTCCTGCCAAAATTCCTATGTTGAAGTCCTATCCCCCAGTGTGATGGTATCCGGAGACGGGGCCTGGGGGAAGTGATCAGGTTTAGATGAGGTCCTGAGGGCAGAGGCACCATAATGGGATTAGTGCCCTTATATGAGAGAAAGAACTCTGTCTCTCTTTCTGATCCCTCTTTCTTTTCTTTCTTGCTCTCTGCTGTGCGAAGGCACAGCAAGCAGCTGTGTACGAGCTGAAAAGAGCCCGCACCAGGAACCATCCATTCTGAACCTTGACCTGGGACTTCCAGCCTCTAGAGCTGTGAGGAATTAAAGTCTGTTGTTGAAGCACTCCAGTCTGTGGCATTTTGTTAGGGCCACCTGAGCTGACTCAGACAGGGTCGGAAGGGACACGCCCAAGCATGTGTGAGGCTGGAGGAGGGCAGGGGAGGGGGGAGGCCACTGGATGTACCTAAAAGAGGAGCAGGGGAACAGCAGAGGAGAGACCAGAAGAGGAGAGATGGCCTGGGGCAGGGAGAGGGCTGTGGGCCAGGGCTTCGCTACGGGTGGCTCTCAGTCAGTAATCAGAGGCCCTACGCTGTGCCATCAGGCCCAAAACAAAAGCCTGGGGACACAAGGATGACAAGACATGACCCCTGCTCCTCTGCAAGCAGCCTGTGGGGGAAGAGAATGAGGAATGGCAGGGGCCCTCCACCTGGTCTTGAAGGCCGTGAAGGATTCTGCCAGGTTTAGGGCTGAGGGGAAGCGAGAAGGTAGTCCCAACAGAGGCTTTAAGCAAAGTTTCTGAAGGAGCAGCGCTGCATGCTGTGGGTGACAGAAAAGGGGGCCACGCATGACTCTGCCTTTTTAGCTGTGTCTGCGACCACGGTGAAAAGGCTGCAGGGAAGTGCACGCCGCCGGAAGGTAGCAATTCCATTACCACCAGCAGCAGCTATGCCTGGCCTGTCCCTCCGCCCTGGGCACTGACCTCCCTCACCTGCCCTTACCTAACGAGTCCTTGAGGGCATGGGTGAGCTTGCACTGCCGGAAGGGGATGTGGTCCCGCTTCTGGTCCCCAAGGGCAATGATGGCCTGCTCCAGGAATGACAGCGACTTGTTGATGTACGTGGCTTCCTTCAGGACTCGTCCCTCAGACTACAAACCAAAGGTCAGTTCCACTTCACACCAATGGGGAGGCTACCCCACTGGGAACACTGCAGGTGGGTGGCCAGGCCGGAGCCCCCTTCCCAGAGCCAGCTCTCCTCTCAGTGTCATGGGATTGTATTCCATCATGGCCTAATACTAACACTCACAGGGATGCTCACACAAAATATTCATGGGAACTCTCATGGGAATATGAATAGTTCTGTGAATATTCACCCAAATAGTCACGTAAGAGTCACACTGATATGAACTCGCACAGGAATGTTTGTGCAGATACCTGGGCAAATCATCCTGTGACTATCATACACATAAAAACACTTAGTCAAATGCATATAAGAATGCTCACTGCATACTCGTGTGAATACTTATGCTAATACTCACACGCCCATGAAAGCTGAGCTGAAATACTCATGGGAAGACTCATGTGGATGCTCCCAGTCTTATGCAGAGAAATGCCACTACTAGCACCAAGCATCTTCTGAGAGCACTTACAGGGGGCCGGGCACCCGGCTAAGAACTTTGGGGCCATCCTCTTGTTCAACGTTCACAAAAATCCTATTAGGTACAAATTGCAACTATGATGCACCTGTTTCCCCTCTACTAATTCCCTCCCTCCAGCTCCATGGGGTCAGGCCCACGTGCTCCACTGTGCCCGGCTCAGGACTGGGCTCACGAATGCCCCTCGAGGGACATCCCATGTGAATGGGGACAGTGTGGGAAACAGGGCTGTGGCTTGAGAAGGGACGCCCTGCTCCCCACTTACCCCAGACTTCCCCAGCCTTTCCGAACCCGCCAGATCCACCAAGTTAATTTTGGAAGTGATGTACTTTCCATCTGATAAGGTCCGCGAATGAGCCTATGAAACATCCAAACAGAAGTCAGATGTCACAGGGAGAAGCTTCTATCTGGAGCAGGCCCTGTGGGACTGGGCCACCCCCCTCCCGGGCCATTCAAGGACCTCAGACCCACCTCCACATAGATGGTGAAAATGCAGTGTGACCTGGACGAGTTTTTGTTCATCGTGTGGGAGGCTATAATCCTATTGGCTTCTCCCTGAAGAGGAGGGAAAGTAGACAGCATTTTGAAGAATTAAAACAATAAGGCATTTGGGTCATTTTCAGCTATTCTGACAGGTATACAAGTGATTTCCTGTTACTGTAATCAGACAGACCTTCCAGAAAAAATCTCATTTATAGACTAGTAGAATGGGAGACTGACTGGAGTCCAGACATAGGCTTTCACCCTCTGCTAGGGATGTGTGAATTTGTAGAGCTATCTGAAAAGCAAAGTAGCAATAAGAATGACAAAGTCTTAAAAATGTTCATGAATAGGGGCTCCTGGGTGGCTTAGTCGGTTAAGTATCCGAGTTTCGCTTAGGTCATGATCTCACGGTTCGTGGGTTCGAGCCCTGCGTCGGGCTCTGTGCTGACTGCCAGCTCAGAGCCTGGAGCCTGTTTCAGTCTGTGACTCCCTCTCTCTCTGACCCTCCCCTGCTCACGCTCTCTGTCTCTCTAGAAATAAATAAAAAAAACCTTAAAAAAAAAATAAAAAAAAAAATGTTCATGAATATTGAGTAACAATCAACTTACATAATCAATGATTAGGGAATGGTCTATCTGTACAATGGAATGTTATATAGCCAGGAAAATGGTGACAAATATTTTTTAATAATAGAGAAATGCAGAATCCAAAATCATAGCAAACTGTCTTCAATGGCACATTAAAATGATCATATAGCAGAGCACTTGGGTGGCTCAGTTAAACGTCTGGCTCTTGATTGTGGCTTAGGTCATGATCCCACGGTTCATGAGTTTGAGCCCTGCTCAATCTCTGTCTCTCTCTCAAAATAAATTTAAAAACTTAAAGAAAAAAAATCTTTGCACATTTAATCCCATCTTGGCATCTGCTTCTCAAAAGGCCCAGACTAACATATTTTTAAAAGGCTATTGAACGGACTGACAGTTGACTTCTCACTACGAATGATGGGAGCCATAACTTTGCAGTGATCTCTTTAATATGGTAGAATAAAAACAAATGCCAAAATAGAATTGTATACCCAGAAAAAAATATCTTTCAAGACTGAGGGTAAAATGAGGACATTTCAAAAAACAAAAAACTCTTTGTCACCAGCATGCTCACTGTAAAGGATGTAAAGCAGAATAAAGAAAACAATCTCCAGTGGAAGGTGATGGAGAAAAGAAAGAAAAAGCAATGAGACTGGTAAATACGAGGGTAAATATAAATGAACATGTACTATATAAAATATTAATAATGACGCCCCTGCAGAGTCAAAAAACAAAAACGTAAAACGTAAGGCAGCAATCCTAAGGTTCTTATAGAATGCAGGAGGAAGTAAAAGGTTTTCATGAACTTTAGATTTTTGAGGTTTTATTTTTTTATTTATTAAAAATTTTTTAATGTTTAGTTATTTTTGATAGAGACAGAGCATGAGCAGGGGAGGGGCAGAGACAGAGAAGGAGAGAGAGAAAGAGAATCCCAAGCAGACTCTGAGCTGTCAGTGCAGAGCCTGACATGGGCTTGAACTCACGAGCAGTGAGATCATGCATGACCTGAACTGAAATCAAGAGTCAGATGCTTAATTGACTGAGCCACCCAGGTGCCCCTATTTTTAAACATTTTAATTATAACACAATTAAAATGATGATATTATAGTAAAATATAATAAAAATTATGATAAAATGACACTTTATTTTGATCCATAGGAGTTTCAAAGAAATGTATAGGGAGGGCCCCTGTATCCTTCACTCAGCCTCTCCCTAAAATAATGTCTTGCAGAACCATAGCACATCATCAAAACCAAGAAGCTGACTTTGGCATAATCCACAGGGCTTATTCAGCTCTCACTAGTTAGACATATTCATTTGGGTGTGTATATTAACTAAAGGTACCAAGTTATTTCTGGGATAAACTGAGACAGTGAGAGGATATAAATATGAATGAATATACAACTTCTAAATTAGTAAAGGGGAAAGCAAGTATAATAAAAAATATCCAACAAAAAAAGGGGCAAAACATGGGTAAGGGGCATTAGGGAAGTCATTTGTTGAGATGAGCACTGGGTGTTACACGTAGGGGATGAATTACTGGATTCTACTCCTGAAATCATTATTGTACTATATGCTAACTTGGATATAAATTTAAAAATAAATAAAAAATAAAATAAAATAAGGGGCTAAACAGATAAGAAAAATAAATGTAGAACAAGTGAAACAAAGATGTATGTAATTGCATGATGTATGTGAACCCAAATATATCAGTAATTACATTAAGTGCAAATGCAATGAAATGCTTTGGTTAAAAGATAAAGATGGTCAGACTACCCAGACTGAATTATGATGAAATGGAAAATCTAAACAGACCAATTTATGAATCAGTAATCAAAAACCTGCCAACAAATAAAAGTCCAGGGTCAGATGACTTAACTGAAGAATTCTACCTGTGAATTAAAAAAAAAACAACAACTTTGGGGGGACACCTGGGTGACTCAATAGGTTAAGCATCTGACTTTGGCTCAGGTCATGATCTCACAGTTCATGAGTTCGAGCCCCACATCAGGTTCTATGCTGACAACATGGAGCCTCCCTGGAATTCTGTCTCTCTTTCTGCTCCTCCCCTGCTTGCTCTCTCTCTTGCTCTCTCTCTCAAAATAAATAAACTTTAAAAAATAAAAAAAAAATTATGTTTTATTTATTTTTGAGAGAGAGGCAGAGTACGAGCAGGAGAGGGGCAGAGAGAGGGAGACACAGAATTTGAAGCAGGCTCCAGGCTCTGAGCTGTCAGCATAGAGCCTGACGTGGGGCTCAAACCCACAAACAGTTAAGATCATGACCTGAGCTGAAGTCAGATGCCCAGCCGACTGAGCTACCTAGATGCCCCTCTACCTGTGGGTTTTTAAAACAAACTCCTCTTATGTGCTCTTTACACAAAGAGTTAAGACAAAAAATTTATATACATTCAATTAACCTAAAATCAAGAATTTTTGTTCATCAAATAACACATAGAGAGTTAAAAAAAAAAAAAAAAGCAAGCCACGGGAAATATAACATATTTACTATACATATAACTGAAAAAGGATTAGTTTTCAAAGTATATAAAGAATTCATGCAAATAAGAGGAAAAAAAGACATCTGTAAAGATAAAAGATATGAAAAGGGAAATCCAAATGGTCAGTAAACACATGAAAAGTCCTTCATCTCATTAGTAATTAGGGAGAAGAAAACACAGAGCAAAGTGGGAAAAAACAGACACTCGCCAGATTGGTCAAAATTTTAAGGTCTTAAGGTCTAACCCGCTATGGGAGTATACCATTATGGGATAGAGTTGGCATTGCCTAAGAAAGTTAAAGACACACTCAATGACCCATAATTGCAGTCCTTGGCTTTACCCAGAAAAATTCATGTTTATGTACATGAGACAGACATACAAGAATGTTCCCAGTGGCATTGTCTGAAATATCCCTCAAACTAGGAAAACCCACATATCCACCAGAAGTAGAGTAGGGGCTCCTGGGTGGCTCAGTCAGTTCAGCATCTGAGTCGATTTTGGCTCCGGTCATGATCCCAGGGTTGTGGGATGGAACCCCGTGTTGGGCTCTGTGCTGAGTATTGAGCCTGCTTAAGATTTTCTCTCTTTCTCTCTCTACCCCTCTCACTCGCTCATGTGCACCATCACTGTCTTTGAAAGAAAGAAAGAAAGAAAGAAAGTAAGTAAGTAAGTAAGTAAGGAAGGAAGGAAGGAGATAACTAACTTGTAGTATATTCAACCAACACCCAATGTAATGCAGTGATGATGACAATGAAAAATGTATAGCAAGAACATAGATGAATTTCACATAAAAAGTAGATAAGAGGAAAAGTAATCAGAATTAATCCTATGTGATTTCTTTTATATATATAAAAGTTTTCAAAAAAATTACAGTACGCTGTTTGAGGAAGCTAGAGGTGGTAATGCCATAAAGACCAATGAAATGATTACAAGTCAGGAGACTGGTTACTACTAAGGGTATGAATAAATACTTATTCATGATAAAAACTCTTCCCAAACTTGAGCCTTCTTTAACCTTAAGCCACCAAAAACCTACAGCAAATATCATTAGTCATGGTGAAATGTCAGAAGCAACAATAAGAATGAATGCTCTATTTGCTGCCTCTGGGATGCTCTTTCTTCCTTGTAGATGCAAGGGCTCCAGGTTTAAATTACCCTTGAGGACACTTATGTGACCATTTTAAAAAATATAAAGGTTTATTCATTTTTGATGGGGAGGAAGGGCAGCAAGAGAGAGGACTAAGGATCTGAGGTGGGCTCTGCACTGACAGCAGTGAGTTTGATGTGGGTCTCCAACTCACGACTGTGATGTCATGTCCTGAGCTGAAGTTGCATGCTCAACCATACAACCAAGTGAGCCATGTAGGTGCCCCACCTATGTGACTTTTTAAGTAAAGTTTTATTGACATAAAATTTTTTAACATGTTTATTTATTTATTCTGAGAGAGAGAGAGCAAGTAGGGGAGGTGCAGAGAGAGAGGAAGACAGAACCCCAAGCAGGCTCTGCACAGTCAGTGTGAAGCCCAATGTGGGGCTCGAACTCATGAACAGTGAGATCATGGCCTGAGCTGAAATCAAGAGTAGGAGGCTTAACTGAGCCACACAGGTGCCCCTATTGACATATAACTTAAATTACAAATTTTGTATAAAATTTTCTGTTTTTATACAATTTATGATTTTTTAAAAACAAATTTAGAGTTGTGCAACCAACACCACAATCCTGTTTTAGAGATGTTATATCACTCAAAAAGTTCCCTGGGCCCATCTGCAGACATTTCCTACACCCTCCTCCCAGCAATCGCTAATTTACCTGTATCTCTAAAGATTTGGCCACTGGGAGCATTTTAAATGAAAGGAACCAAACAGGATGTGATCTGTATTTCTTTTACTTAGCATGTTTTTGAGATTCATCTATGTTGTAGCATAAATATATCAGTATTCCATTTCTTTTTATTGCTAAATAGTTTTTCATCATATGGATATACCACATTTTGCTTACCCATTCACCAGGTGATAGACATTTTGGTTATTTCCAGTCTAGGGCTATTGTGAATAATGCTGCTATAACATTTGCTTACAAGTCTTTGTGTGAACACGTTTTCATTTCTCTTAGGAAAATGCCTAAGAGTAGAAGTGCTAAGTTCTATCATAAAATTAATTAACTTTTCAGGAATCTGTCAAGATGGCTACACTATTTTATATTTCACTGTGAGGTATAGGAGTTCCAACATATATGACTTTTAATTTTTTTAAATGTTTATTTTTGAGAGAGAGAGAGAGAGAGACAGAGCAGGATCAGGAGAGAGAAAAGGAGACACAGAATCCGAAGCAAGCTCCAGGTTCTGACCTGTCAGGACAGAGCCCAATGTAGCGCTCAAACCCATGAACTGTGAGATCATGACCTGAGCTGAAGTTGGAGGCTGACTGAGCCACCCAGGCGCCCCCAATATGACTTTTAAAAGATAACATACGCTGGGGAATTTATAGATTTGTAAGAGCTTTTATATACTAAGAATGTTAATTCTTTTTTTTCTATACCACAAATGCCCATGATTTCATATTAACTGAAAAAAAGGACAATTTCAACTATGTTAATTTTTGTTCCTATATATTTTCATTACTACCTGAACTTGCTAAATGAGCATATATTAACATTCATTCTGGTTATCAAAGTAAAAAACTAAGAAGGACGGAGGGAGGAAAAGAAACAAAGGAAGAAAGGAAGGGAGGGAAGGAAGGAGAGGGAGGGAGGGAAGGAAGGAAGGAAAGAAGGAAGGAATCCTTAGATTTGGTCATCTCACCTCAAAAAGGAGGCTGAATGCATCCTCCTCTTGACTTGTAAGGTGGACTGACAAGCCCTTTACAAAGACCCCTTGAGGGTTTTCCACGATGGTCATTGGTGTGACTGATGGTCCGACATAGGGCAGAGTGGACAGGAGATCAAACAGACTCTCATTGTAGATTTCCAGGTAGGAAACACGCACAGTGATGGCGTGTGTGGGGCGTTCTTCGATCATCCTAAAAACCTACATGGGATATTGGACAGTAGTCACCAAGAGCAAAACTTCAATGACCAATCGGCATTAGGAAGAGTTCTTACTGCAGCAGGGAACATCAAGAAGTACAAAAAAAAGATCTCTGTCCTATAAGAATTTACAATCTAGCTGGCATGATGGTCATCATCATCCACAATGACTATTAATAGATCATTGAGTAATACTTATTATCACCTTGTAGTATTTTGAAGCCTGTCATAACAGATTGTACAGCCATGATGAATGGAAACGACTTTGAATTGAAAATTGAAAATCCCTCATTTAATGGAATCTCTCTCGCCATATATAAGCCATTATTTAATCCTATTCTTACAACTCCCCTGTGACTGAAGAAGGGTAGGGGCAATGCCCATCTGAGGAAAGCCCCATGCAATGAAATTATTTGTCTATGGTCATTCAGCTAGTAAGAGAAGGAGCCAAGTCAAAACTCAGCCTTCCCAACTCCCAATACCTATAGGCGGGTGATTTTGGACTGGTTTTCCCCCTTCTCTGGATCTTAACTTTCTGAGTTGTCAAATGGGGGTGAGTGTGGTTGGCTGGATGATCCCTGAGGCCCCCGTCTTGCTCTAATAGTTGAGGGCTGTGCTGTCTAACACGGCAGGCTCTAGCCACAGGTGGCTGCTGAGCACCTGAAATGTGGCTGATGCAAATAAGGAGCAGAATTTTAAATTTCACTTCATTATAATTAATTTGAATTGAAATTTAAAAATAGCTGCTAAAGGGGCCCCTGGGTGGCTCAGTCAGTTGAGCATCTGACTCTCAATTTTGGCTCAGGTCATGATCTCACGGTTGTGGGACTGAGCCCCATGTCGAGCTCTGTGCTGACAGGGAGTAGCCTTTTTAGGATTCTCTCTCTCCCTCTCCCTCTGCCCTTCCCCAGCATAGTGCGCTTGCATGCTCTCTCTTTTTCTCTCTCTCAAGGTAAATAAACTTAAAAGGTGGCTGCTAAGTTCAGTTACTGGTAAACTTTTCAGTATGTTGGGAACAACTTGAGTTCATAAATCTACTTTTTCAACTGTGAATTTTATGAAATCTAAATGCAGATCGAGTATTCCTGATTAAATATTTAGTGTCTGAATTGAAATGGGCTGTAAGTGTAAAATACACACTGCATAGTGAGAAAAATAACGTAAAATATCTCAAGAATTTTTATATTGATTACGTGTGGAAATTATATTTTGGGTATACCGAGTTACATAAGATATATTACTAAAATCAATTTCACCTGTTTTACTTTTTAAACTGTGGTTACTAGAAAACTCAAAATTGCATGTGTGACTTACACCATGCTTCTACTGGGCAGTGCTGGGCTCAACTACCGAAGTCTAAGATGCTGAGATACCGAAGCTTGGACAGTGGGATGTGAAGGCTACTGCTTCAGAAATTAGAGCATGGGTGCTTTATACACTAGAGGGTCATCTACGTTTTTTATAGGACAAGGCTATAAAACCTCAGGATGCTTTGGGGGGAAAGCCCTTTGCCTCCCACCCCCCAACAGAAGGTCCTCACAGAACTCCAAAGGAAGGCTCTTCTGTACTGTCTTCAGTTATACTGCTACACCCCCAGGGCTCACTCGGTCCTGAAAGCTCATGCTGTGTCCTGCTTCTTCCCTATGCTCTGTCTGGGGCTGTGGCAGGGGAAGAAGCCAGAGCCGGCCAGGGAGGAAGCTTTGCAAGAGGCCATATCCCCCTCATTAAAACAAGGCAGGAATGTGATTAGGACCTCCAAACCCTCAATTACGGGATCACAGACCATTGCAGCAGCAAGAAGCTGGTTGGCATGTCCAACTCCCACTTTTGCAATGAGGAAACGGGTTCCTCATGGGCTTGGGTCAGACCCTGAAACTTGAACTCCCAGTTTCCTGAGGCCTCTGGACACCCCCCCTGCACCCCCCCATTCCTCCCTACCCCCGCCGCCATGTGTGTCCTGTCTCCAGTAGCAGGCCTGGGGTCAGCAGCAGCTGCAGTAGAGAGGGGACCTGTGTGGCACCCTGCCTGTGGACCCACTCTCTACCTGCTGTAAGGCACGAGGAAGGATCCCCCGGTGCTTGTAATTCTCAGTTGCCCCTGTCATGGTATATGTCTTGCCGGCTCCTGTCTGCCCGTAACACATGATGGTACCTGCAAACATTTGGAAGCACATCTTGGTGATGTCCAAGAAAATAGCTCCAAGGAAGCTCTGCTATTCCCCAGCACGCCTGGTGCCAGCCTGGACCCTGGCATGAAGGTGGCCATCAAGAGCAGCCACAGACATGAGGGATCCTGCCTTGGGGGACAGGGTGAGGGGGAAAGGACACAGGACATAAATGGTCAAAACACAGACTGCTGCTCTGAATCTGTGGCCCAGGTAGTGCTCCACTGCTCCCTCTGCCAAGAGAAAATCAGCCCCTAGGGCTGCTGAGCAGAGTGAGGGATCCCAGGGAACAGAGGAACTGGGAATTTTCCTAGACAGGTAAGGAGGGAGCTAGGAACACTGAACTCCAGCCCTTCTGTAGCAAGGCCGTGAACTGTCAGGGGTAGGCTTCCCTCGGGCTGGCCAGTCTGGAGGCAAGGAGAGCTTTCAAAGTCCCCAGGAAGAGATGGGAGTGGGAAGGGAATTTCCTGTTAATGGTGAGAATTCTTTGTAGACTACAAGTTCCCACAGGATCAAACAGGGCTGCTAGTTGGCCCCATGCCACTTCCAGAAACAGATTTTGATAGGTCCTGATCTGGTCCCACCGCCTTCTCCGGGAAGACTTCCACTTGCACCTCTCACATCTCTTAGGTCTACTGTCGTCACCACCAGGCTCTGGGACACGAACCATGCTTCACCCTGGGCTCTGGTTCCCATCCACTCATCCTCCTGGCTTGGCCAGCCTGAGCCAGAGCTCATCCCAAACACCACTTTCGGGCAACACCAGGCCGTGGAAATCAGTGTTTGCCTTCCCCACACCAATGCTCTAGTTCCTGGATTGGTAGGTTTTGTACAAGGGACTCAAATTCAGCCTGTTAAGCTGAGGTCAGGAACAGTGTCTATTGACACAAACGTGCAGGAAGGAGTCACTTCAGCTGGGACTCTGAGCCCATTTGTCATTCTACAGCACCCCGTGCCCAAAACTCTTAACTTCCTGGGCCTTCTTAGTTCCTCTGTCTCTACCTCCTCCGGGCCATATCCCCTCAGGGTCAATGAGGACCACACCAATGTTTCACAAGCAGGGTACGTTACAATGTTTGGCCATCAACTCTAAACTGACTTTTAAACAGAAGACCTAAAACCTGCAGCCAGGAACCATTCTAGTCACATGGGCGAAGTTTACTAACTGTGATATATTCTTTCTACGGAGTTTCAAACCTTAAGATTTTAAAGCAATCTTAGACCAAACTAGTTTGTAAAAATCTCCCAATAAAGCTGCTTTTCATTTGTTAAGAAAATCAAACTCCACTCCATTTTTTCATGCTGTATGTAAATAACTCTATGCTACAACAGGAAGAATAGGTTTATTTTGCTGGCAAAATGAATGGAAATAGCTCCTAGCAGGTAGCCAAGAGAGAAGTATTTGGACTCCATCACATTCATAAGGCCATTATCTTCAAAACTTGTATTTGAGAGATTTGAAACAGGGTAATAATTTAATCCCCATGATCCATAGAGAGCCACAGTCATTTAATCTTCCTAGGAAGGTAGGACCCCAGAACTTTGGATCAAGTCATGCCCACAATACCACCAAGCAAATAATAAGTTTTCTACCATAAGAATATGGAGATGGACAAACAAAAGTTAGCACGAGAGGTGATACTTTATTTTATTCACCATAAAATACTTGCACCTCTTCCTCCAGGAAGGGTTCTGTGGGTTCTTACAGTCAATTAATAACAGTTAATTAACTAAATTACCATTATATCCGTCGAGGGCCTGAGAAACCACATTCTTTGCGACCGTCTCATAAACCAAGTCCTGGGAGGCATTGTGAAGAACTCCATCCAGCTTGAATGACCAGTCTGTCTGCTGGTTATTGACAACTCCTCTCCGAATATCTTTTTTTAAGTGAATATCAATGCTCTAGGAAGAGAGAAAGAGTTAGCTAGCTAGTTCAGTGATAGGAAACTGGTATGAAAAATTCACTGATAGCTGAGGCCTGACCTGGAGACAACAGAGGAAGCAGACTTTAGAAGAACGTGGATACCCACACATGGGCTGATATTCTGATGAGTTCTTTGGAATGGGAGAGGAGAAGGGAGGCCACACCACCCTCAAGGAGTAAGGAACAGGAGACTGGAGCACTTACAGGTTTCAGGCCTTGTCACCCTAGGTGACAGGGTGCTGTTTGTCTTGATTCCTGCATCTATGATAAGGGGTCAAGCATATTTATCATGTTTTTTTATTAAACAAGCTTTAGACACATATAATAAGCACAGGGATGCCTTGACTTCGGCTGGAGAGAAGAATGGGCTTGGTGACAGAGGCCTGGACTTGAGCCACTTCTTTTACATGCTATTGCAATGATGAATTAATAGCTGCAGAAATGGCTCTTGGCTTCTCAGACAGTCTCTCACTGGTATTATAGCAAATCGAAGGTGCCTACTACTTGTAATCAGCATATCTTTAGATGCAAAGATTTAATTTTTTTTTTTAGATGCAAAGATTTCTAAAAACATTTTTAGACTTTTAGATCTCTCTATAGCAAGGCACTAAGACAGTAGCTAGTTTAGGAACATAGTGGGTTAGGTCAAGGAGAGATTCCAATCTTCACAGTGGGGCCTTCTGATGTAAAGGGACTCTTGGAATTTTATACTGGCTGCCCTAATCCAGGAGCCAACACACAGCCAGATGCAGGAAAAGTAAGATCGAGCAAGAAGAGGGGCTTTGTCCATTCACACATTAAATGTTCTGTGCTTCTGTTCTCACTGAGACCGTGCCCAGCAGGAGTCACTGCACAGGTCTGCACATGAGCTTCTCATTGACTGTCAAGACTTTCAAAGTTTGGGCAGTCTGCTCTTGGATTCTTCCTTAAAGAATGTCTTCATACTGCCCAGGTTCACAGATGTTTGCTGAATAAAAACATAGGATCGCTCAACCTGTCCCAAGCCTGTCATGGGCTTCAAAAAGGTAGTCAGGACAGCGGTTGGGACACAGGGATACATAAATCTTTCCAGTTCTCTGGGTAAGAGTTTCTCCCACTGGTTTGGCAAGTTGAATAGTTATCAACTTAAGACGTTCTTACTGGACCCCATCCCGGAGGGATCATGTATATCTGATTGCCACAAAGTTTTATGAGCATGGACAAATGTCAGCTTTTCTATGTCAGATACAAGGATGAAAGTAAACTTATTAACCACAAATATAATTCAAAGTGGGAGTTTCAAGAGTTTCCTTATCAAAAGAGATTCAAGGGGAATGGTTTGGATTTGTTGGAAGTCTGGAGTCCATCTGAACTTTTATTGACTCTGTCTTGGTTCTTAAAGGCTGTTTGGAAATGGGGTCCCACTTCAGCAAGGGGGGACAGAGAGGACCAGGCTGGTGAAGGCAAGCACATCCCACTTACTTTGTTGTCGTCTCCGTATTTGATCATTTCGTGAGCAAAGTCATCGGTGGGTTTGACACGGACAAAGGCAAGAACTTTTTTCCTAGTACCCATTCTAGCTAAAAAGAAGAAAATAGTACAACTTTCAGCTGTCATATTCAAATGGCAATTAGAGGGGAGGTGTCATGTATTAAGATCAGAACAGAGTGACTGATGCAGTCTGTGTTTTCCTATCCCACTGAGACCCAGTCTTCTTTTCTGCCCCTTCGTATGTCATTGCTCTACCCACAGGACACACTATTCAACAAGTACAGGCACTTCTGCAGGCTCTCTCAACATCTTCCACCCATGGCCCTCTAAGAGAGAGAAATATGAAGCAAAAAGAATTCTCCCTTTAGTGGCCTAATCTTTGACAGGTTTCCTAAAAATGTTCTGTACTTGAGTTCACTTATACTTTGCCTCATTCATTATGCTTTCCTCTAAAATACTTACTATGAAATGCATTTACTTAATTTTCTTGTCTTCACAAACATACACTACTTCAGATGCAGCAGCTCCTCTTTTACCTTCGTTTTACTTAGATCAGAAAACGATTCCCTATAAGTATATTTAATCTAGCCCATTATCAGATATTCTTTCTTCTCTGACAGTCCATTGAGAGAAAAATCAAACAGCCCTCTACCTCCTCTTCTTCTCGTAAACCTCACTAGAGTTTCATCATTTTCTTTCAGGTAGACACACTTAAATTTGTATTCCTTTATTTATACTGCCATGAAAAATTACTGTGTATAACAAAATGTTAAATTAATGCTTGGTGTGGCTTCACAGAATACAATGTAAGCATACAGGTATAAGTGTTAAGGAGAGAGATTTAGGTAAATGACCTTCCTACTATAATGAGAGCTGTCCTATAATGGAAAAGATTCAAACAAGGTCAAGATGCCAGCTAGCAGAGATGCTACCACTCTGCTGCACTGAGTGGAGAGTTAATTAATTTCTAAGATCCTGTCCAACTGAAGTATTTTATAACAATTTTTAAAAATTGAATTGCACAACCAAGTGATAACTAAGAAATCTCATATGTTATTGGATATTAGTTGCATTGGTGAAGTCACACTAGGCCCTTTCCTGAGAGTGGCTGTGTAAAATTATTTAATACTAATTAGACAGTAAATTTTGGTTCCAACATTGACATGGAGTGGAAAAACAAAGAGGGTTATTAAAGAGAAGTAATGATTGTGCTATTTTTATTGCTTTAAGGGGAACTTAAAACTTAGTTCTTCAAAAAATAAAAATAAAAAACAAAACTTAGTTCTTCAGGTGCCTCTTATACACTGATGACAAAGGATTAAATATTGAGGGAAAATGTCAAGAGCTCTAAGGAAAGCTAAGGAAAAATCAACCAGTAATCATCATCAAATACATTCAACCTAGTTAAGTAATACCACAAAACCAGATGAAAGTCTATGAAGATACACTAAACTTCATTGTTCGAAACTACTGGGGTCGTTGACATAATACAATTTTAAATTGTTCAAAGGGGAAACATTTCTAATTTTATATGTAAGATTTCCTAATATCAACCTAGTATTTTTTCTTTCCTTCTTTTCCAAAGGATGTGAACAATATCAAGTGCTCTGTGGTCATGGAGTCCTAACACTGGGCTCTTGCATTTCAATAATTTCACTTTTATGGAACTATGAACATACAGAAAGAATGTTAAAAACTCAGTTAGAGTTAATACTCCAATTGTACCAAACACATTTGGAATAGGGAAAAGGCCCGAAGTTCAGGATGTACACTGCTTGATACACTTCTCTTGTGACCTTCCTGTAGGGGTTGAATCAGTTCAATAAGGGACAAGGCATCTGCACTAAAATAACTTCATAGGACAGGAAAGAGGAGTTGAGGCCAAAGAAATCACCTGTATGCTTCTGTAAACAACAATAACAACCAGCAAAGGAATCTGTTGAATTCGTGAAGAGTTAGGGAAACATGAGACATAGGGAGCTGATTCAATTTCATATTCAAATTGGAAAATAGCAGCAACACAGTTATTAAGGAAAAAATAGCTTGCTGAACTACCGCAAAGCACTCTAATAAACTGCTATGATGCTTAATATTTTTAAAAATGAATTGTTACGACCTTTACTATAAAGAAAAAAATCATGCATGACAGGGATTTCTTCTATGAATTACAGCTAATTATTTCACTTTTTTTTTTTTTTAAGCACATTAAGGGGCACCTGGGTGGCTCAGCCAGTTAAGCAGCCAACTTTGGCTCAGGCCACGATCTCACGGTTCGTGGGTTCCAGCCCCGCAGTGGGCTCTGAACTGACACCTGGAGCCTGCTTCAGATTCTGTGTCTCCCTTTCTCTGTGTCCCTCCCCTGCTCATGCTCTGTCTCTCATTCTCTCAAAAATAAATAAACATTAAAAACAACTTTTTTAAAGCACGCTAAATAAAGAATATTAACATTTCCCCCGTATTATCTAAGAGGGGTTCACTGAATGTTACCTGATAGATTTTAAGGACATTGAACACATTTCTCAACGCAACTTGCAATGACCAGATTTTTACAACTTTATTAACCATCATCAATGGGATGAAGTATCCCTATAGAAGCAAATTATTAAATAAAGACAGGTCCTGCCCTTTCAGTCTACAGTGTCAATGATGTAGACAAATGAAACTCTAACCCCTGTTACAAGCCCTTCAGATGTCAAATAAGCAAACATGACACTGTCATATTTGCCAACTGCAGAACTGTGTGTCCGCAGTAACACAGGACTACATTCCTCAAGTAATTATTTTATGGAAGTCTTTTCCCAGCCACTATGGGACCATTCACACCTTTTAATTTTTAAAAAATGAAGCTGAAAGATATTCAGGTGATTAAGGATGATGGCTTATCCAATTTCAGTCCTAAAATTTTTGTCTGCAAAATTGAGCTCGAGAGATAAAAAGCCACAAATAGCTCTAATGTGGATCCTAAATCGGGGAAATTGAAGAGAAAATCTCAACTCCAAATTCTCTTCGACCTAGGCTATTGGGAAGTTGAGAATGGAGGCAGGTTGTGTTTTGACTCAAGCAAACTTCCCCTCAGTCTCTACAGCTCTGGGAGCTACTGCCCATATCAGTAGTCTGAGGGCCCAGCCTCCTGGCCAGGGTGCCCTCTGAAAGGAACCAGCCTAGGTGGCAGGTGCCCAGGCCTCCCTCCTGGAAGCCCGCACCCACCAAGCACAAGAACAGCACAGGACAGCCCTCCCATCAGAGTAGGGACTGTAATTTGCCAACATGCACATGCAGTTCCCCTATCTTCCCCAGGCCCTCCCCATGCTCACATCCATAGCTTCAAGTATGCCAGTAGCCATGCGCACCTAAGACAAGCCTTCTCTACTTTTAGGTAATCTCTCCACCCAATGTGGGGCTCAAACTCACAATCTTGAGTTCAAGAGCTGCATGCTCTACCGCCAGCCAGGTGCCCCACAAGCTTTTTCTATTAACTCCTTCTATAAGGGTCCTATTCAGCAGCCCCTCGACACCCAGACACCCCATGCCATCTTGCACTTACTGAAATAATGCTTGTTACCATTCTTACGCCGCATCATTTGACTGGGTTTCCGCTCCCAAATTAAATTACAAGTTGCTTGAGGGGTAGAACTGTGCTTTATCTCTTTTGAATCCCCCCGCAATGTCCAGAACAGTGCCCAGCACAGAACAGGTACTCAAGAAATGGTGGTTGGTAGTGATGGTCATGGCTGGAGGTCAGAGGGTGGCTGGCTGAATCTCCACATGTGGGTCCATCTTCAGTCACTACTGAGAGAGTCCCAAGGGGCATATGTCACTTCCCTCTCACACCACATCCAACCCCTGAGCCCACTCCTTCCAGGAGGACACTTAGTTTCCACATACTGCTTGCAAGAAGCCATATTCAGCCCCTCACCATGCCCTCTCTTTTAGCAGGGTTTTCCTCCCTCGGGATCTTATGGGTAATGCTCCTCTCCTGGGCACCACACTTAGATATTTCTGGTGTAAATAAATGAATCTCGGAGTGGCCACCAGGAGATCTCCCTGAAGGTTCGTGGTTTCCTTATTCGTTTTAGTGGTGGGAATGAACAAAATTTGCTATCAAGCGTTTCTGAAGATTGGATAAAAGGAGAGGAAGCGTCTACTGGAAGGTAGGCATCAGGTGAATCCCTACCTGCCAGCGCTCCTGCCCAGACCAGACGCTCTCATATGGATCCTTCATAGTTTTAAGCGGCGGCAGCATCTGAACTCTGAAACAACAGGGTCCAAACGCACCCATCCCTAGGCTAAAGCAAAGACTCGATTCCAGGCAGATCTAGCCTTCTCCCTTTTCCTCACCCAACATACCGGACCCTTATGTGGAGGATGGGAAGCAGTGGAACTTGGGACCATTCTTGTCCCTCTTTGGTGCGGCTTCCTCATCCTTAAAGCGAAGGGCTCGACCTAGCGATCCCGAAGCCCCCCTCCAGTTCGAAAACTGCCGAGTACAAAAGGATCCAGAAGACCTCTGGCCTCCCACCTCACACCCTCTCAACCTCGGCAGAGACGCAGAGCCCTCGTGGTCAGGGAACGTTGGATCCGAAGACCCTAAACCGCAGCCAGCCCAAAAGAGCCCCCACGATGCCGCCGCGCCCTCTCCTCCGCTCCGGTTTCACAGATCAGCGAGTCAAGCTGGGGGACTCCCGGGTAGGGCGGTGTTCGGATCCCAGCCGCTGCCCACCGCCTGGGCGCATACCCCCTCTCGGGCCTCCCTTCTCATCCGTGCGACGCGTGGCCCCTGCTCACCGCTCCCGAGGCAGAGGCCCTCCAGCCGCGCGACCTCTGCAGGAGCAGCGACCGCAACCCTGCACTCGCTGCAGCAGAACTGTGTATATAGCCGCCATGGCAACGGGCCGTTCCCGCAGATTCCGGAAGTATCGGGGTAGTGGCGGAAGTGAAGTCCGTGGCCCAGTGTGGAGATAGAGTAAGGTCAGGGCCGAATCGGAAAGGCGGGAGATGGGGCCGGTTAATCCAGGAAGACTGCGGCAACTGCAGGCGCGACAGCACGGTCGGGAAAGCGAGGGAACGAAGGCTGCGCTTGCACCAGGAAGCGGGGCAGCGGGGCTTCCGGGGCAGAGAGGCCTGAGACTACGGCGGCCGTGCAGGCCCGTCTGCATCTAGCCGTGTGCTCGCGCCTGCAGTCCGCCCCGCCCCGTTTGGTTTCGAGCCGGCCGGCCAGGCCTGCGCAGTCGCAGCGGCCGGGGAAGATGGTGGAGGACGGCGCGGAGGAGCTTGAGGACCTGGTGCACTTCTCCGTGTCCGAGTTGCCTAGTCGCGGCTACGGCGTCATGGAGGAGATCCGGCGGCAAGGCAAGCTGTGCGACGTGACGCTCAAGGTACCGAGGGCTGGGCTGCGCGGGACTCAGGGATACGGAACCGAGTGGGGAGGAAAGAGGGGCGGGGGGTAGGGGAAGAGAGGTCTAGCGGGCAGAGCGGTGGGGCAAGGAGGTTGGAGACCGAGTAGGGGAGAGAGAGGTGCCGAGTGGGAGAGGGAGATTGGGGCTGAGTGGGGAGACGGACAGGGACAGCCTCTTAGCCCGTGGAAGGAAAGGCTGAGAGGTGCGCGGGTGAGGCCCTCGGCGTGGGAGACATTGGGGTGCCGCCTCCCTTTTCTGTCAGACAGGAGAAAATGGGCTTGCAGCCCCTCTCTGGAGGAGGGGGTGGTGGCCGCCTCTACATTCTGATGGGCACCAGTGAAGCACCTTCTCTTGTCACCATAGACATTTCTTTGTGCCCCTCGAAGTTAGCTGTGCTGTTAGAGGCGCGGGCTTCGCCTTAGGAGTCATTGCTTGCCCTTGATTGTTAGATTACTACCTTGTCTCTTAAGAGCTTGTAAAATCGGATCTGGACATCTTTTGAGGTGGGCATCTACTCTGCCCCCCACCCCATGCTGGAAGGCACACCACCGCCACCGCCTCCACAGAGGTCCCGGAGGATGGACCGGGTCTGCGTGGGGAGAGGGATCTCTTGGCCACCTGTTCCCTACGGGCATTCTGGACGCAAGAGCCAGCCTTCCTCCTGTGCTCTGCAGCCATTCCTGCTGGAGGGGCGGGCTGTGCTGCCTCTTGGCCAGATTCCCGAGACCTTGGGAGCCCTCCAGGTGGGCAGAGGTTGCTGTGAACTGTGTTCCCTGTTGGGCTTTGACTTGAAGGCTCTGAGCATCTGTGGAAGACCACGTTAAAAGTATATACACGTGCAGAGCTCTTTTCGGTCTTCTTGTGTTCCACAGAATTAAGGAAACTTTTTTTTCTTCCCGTAGTTGAGTCAGACCTCTGGAGACAGGCGAGCAGATTTAAGAGTGTGGAGATAGAAGGATTTGGATTAAAATCCTAGGCATAACCTTGGGCAAGTTACTTAATCTCTCTAAACATCAGTTTTCCAAATATAAAAATAGGGATGCTTTCTTATTAGTGTGAGAATTAAATGAGACAATTTGTGGTATTCTTTGCATGGTGCCTCGCCTAAGTTTTTCATCCTCTGAGGGAGGTTGGTTTTCCAGGAGGGGAGTGAGGTGGCCCAAGAGGGAAAACGATCTTTAGCGGGGAACCAAGAGGTTTGAGGAAAATGAGCTGGACTGAAGGAGGCAGAGGAAGTAAATATAAATGAGGCGGTTACGTGTAGATGTCGAGGCTGCTAGAGGTTGGTAAGCAGAAGAATGATCTGTTTGTGGAGGTGACACTTAGGATGAGTAGAGCCTGGTAGAAAGCAATAATAATAGGGGAGGGGTTTTGGATTAAGATTTAGGCTGTAAGGGGGAGCCAGGGAAAGCCCGTGAGACACAGAAGCAAAGGGGTATGATCCTGGGGGATGATTACAGATATTTCTGCATAAAATGAAGCAGTGCATTTTGCCTCTACATTTAATGCAAATACGGAATATAACAACTCCTTGGCATAACAATGCTCGTATGATTTTTTTCCATTAAAAGACCCTTTGTTCATCCAACGGGACAAGATAATTATCAGAGGTAGTTCCAACCCAGAGTGTCCGTCTAAATTGCTGTATTAGTTTCGAGCATCTAGGACATAGGGACTAGGATAAAGGCACAGAGTAGAGCCGGACTGGACCTAGAGAGCATTTGCTTCATTGGTTTTCTAACTCTTCTGTACAGCCTGAGGAGTAGCTCAGTGGCAATGTGCTGTCGGGGGCCAGGGAGGGCCATACAAACCAGGGTCTCCCTCATTTCTTCTCCCCTTCACTACAGCTGCCTATGAAATCTGTTTTGGTTTCTCTCTCTCTCTTTCTCTCTCCCAAGATAGAGTCTTTCCTGAAATTTCTGATGTTTCTCATCTTCCAAATAAATGGGTACGGAAAAGCTGGTTGGAAGCATTTTGGTGTGGGATGGATTTATGGACTGACTAGTGGGCCTCCATATAGGGCAGTGCTTTTCAGCCTCTAGTAGGTATTATAATCAATTGGTGACCTGTTCACACACTGGTTGTTGGACCTCACGGCAGAATTCTTTATTCAGTATGTCCGATATGGGCCCGAGTTTTTACATTTCTGACAAATTCTCCAGTGACGCTACTGCTGGCTTGGGGCTACCTTCTGAGAGCCAAAACTGGAAGGTGATGGACCTGACGTTTTCAATGCGATGTGCTCAGAGTCCATGGATCTTCATGCAGGCTTCTGTCTGAGTGGCATAAGCCTGGCTGTTATCATTCTAGGAGCCTTGTAGTGGGAGGGGACTGGGGTCTCTCTCTCTCTCATGTATGCAGACTTCCACTTAATCCCCTGAACGGGGCCACTTCTGTGTCTTCGGTGGTTCCCTGGTTGCCCAAGTTTGGAGTCTAGTTCATCCTGTCCGGGTGATAAACCTCCAGCCTTCTGCTGGGGAGGTGACGGAACAGTTGCCTAGGAGAGGGGAGCAGAACTGCCTGATTGCAGCCTCCCTTATCCTCACACATTCAGAGGAGGCCTGAGTCCCCAACCGTTGAGTTTGGGAGGGGGCTCTGCAGGGCCTCGCCATCTGTAGCACTCTGCATGCTCCATCCGAGTCAGTTACTAATCTTCCAAAATTTGGTGATGCTTGTGATCTCTTCTCTCTTTCAGCTTCTTTTCCTTGGGAGCTTTGCTGTTCCTTGATTATCAGTCTGAGAGATAGTATTTGGCACAGACTCAAGCCAGACTGCCTGGGTTTGAACCCTAGCTCTGCCCCTTATTAGCTGTGACAACTCAGGCAAGTTCCTTAAACGCTGGTGACTCAGTTCCTTCATCTTTAAAATGGGCGTCATCGCCTACGTAGTAAGTGTGTTAGGGATTCCATTAGTTAACGCACTTAAAACAATCATGTAGTAAATGTTCAGTAAGCAGTTGACATTTATGGATAAAAGCTTGATGGGGTTTCTAGAAGGGAGGGGAATGAATGGGTATGTTCATCCTGGCATTTTGAATTTGTTTTAGCTTTGGATGAAATCTGGTTGATTTTATCTAAACATAACATTCATTGCCTTAAAAGAATCTGCAGACCACCACTTTGCTTCAGTAGCCTGCATTTTACAGTTGAGGACCCAAGCCCAGAAGAAGGGACTTATCCAAGTCACAGATTGAGTTAGGCAGAGCTAGGAGTAGACACTGGACTCGTAGTCTCTGCTCTCCTGGCCAAGTGTTCTTTCATGCTCTCCTGTTGCCCCTTCTATCACTGACAGGGATTCCAGGCACTGTCGTGTGGATTAATCTACCTCAGTCCTTACTCGTCCTTAACAACATGCCATCTTTTCTGTCCTCCCGAGCTTCAGTGAGAGTGTGCAAGTTAGCGTTAGCAGGTATGATGCAGTCTCTAAATTCACTGCCAACTCTTAAACCTTTCTTAGTTTTGTTTTTGGAGATATTTGAAATTTAAATTCCTTGGGCACCTGTTGGATAATTAGGAAGAGGTGTAACAGAAAAGGTAATAATACTGGATTTTTAAAATCGTATATTCTGTGTTTATGTTGACTTGAACCTTTTTTTTGAGAACTGAAAATGAGGAACGCTCTCCCCAGAAAAATGTGCATACTTAACATACATGCAACATTTTGCATTCAGTCATAGGAGCGATTCCCCTGAAGCCCATCTTTGGATCATGGGGCATAAATCCAGCTGAGTATTACTCTTCTATGAGAATAAGCCCATGGTCTGTCTACTTGACAAATCATTTTATCTCTAAAGCTAGGAGGATAGCAGTGCAGGACTTCTTGGCAACCGTTAGCATAAGGCTTGGTCTGGGTAGAGAGGTTTGCGTCCGTCAAGGCTCTTATCCCTTCTTTCCAACAGCTGGTTTCATCTCCTTTCCTCTGGGCCACCAGCTGCCCAGTGCTCAGGCCACATCTGTCAGGTTCACTGTGGGCGCAGCGAGTTGAGCAGACTCCCCAGATGCAGTGAGTGCTCACCACAGGTTGTTATTCTAAGATCTAGACCCACCACTCTAACATTTGTCTGTTCTCCCCTCACCTCACATACTCCTTTTTCTTTATTTGTGAGGGCAGGATGGGGTCACTAAACCTGCATATTACTCACTGACCTATCAGCTTAGGAGAGGAGCTTCCTAAACACACACACACACACACACACACTCACTCACTCACTCACTCACTCACTCACTCACTCACTGATTTGCAACCACTAATGAATGGTTCTCCAACAATTTTCTGGCATCAGTTTTCTAGCATTTTCCAAAGGCTCTTGCTAAAGTTTTGAGCCCAGATCTGACAATGTATCCTCTGGAAAGGAATGTCTTTTCCATGGGTAAAAGGCACAGTATTAGAATATTTCCTTTTGACCCACTAAATCCAAGTACACAATTTTCATTGAGACTGACTTCAAGAGCTGCGCATTTGAGTCTGGAATCTTGCCCAAGTTTCTCTCACACTGATTTTGTGATGAAAGAGTATGTGGAGAAGGATATCAGGAGGTGAAGTAAGAACTTGTTGAAACACGCCA